TTTCTCATTTGCCTTAGTACAATCAGTTTTCAATGTAATTTGTTGGCCTGACCAACCCTAAAATAATACATGCAGGACATTTAACATAGGGCATTTAAAACTGAAGTACAATAACATTCCAACCTACTTTCTAGCACCATCTCTAGCCTCTACCTTCATACTTCCATGCCCTTACTCATGGCATTTCCTCTGCTTGGTACACATCTCTCTCCCTTTTCTCTCCTGCATCAGTGCTTTGCTCATATGTCATCTCATCTGCAAAGTCTCTCCTCCAGTTATGTTGTCTTCTGACGATCAGAGTGAATATATGCAGTGGTTCCACCACCACGTGTACGTGGGAGATACGTGTCAAGACCCTGGTGGATGCCTGAAGCCTTAGATATGGAGCCCTCTGTATAGTATGTTTCTTTCCTATGCATGAATACCTTTTCACTTAAATGAAGCATTTTACAGCTTCTCTTGGGCAGCTCTGAATTGCCAGATCCTTTTCACTTGTACCAGTTCTTAAAACAGATCAGCTTTATTTTCCCTTGTTCAGGCTTTTTTTTTTTTAACCTGGGGTTTCTGTACACATTTTAAATTGCAGAGTTGATTGGGAATTTTATAGCCTTTGTAATGATTTTTCCCCTTTTCATGGAAGACTGAGCTTTTCTTTATTTAAATCCTCACCCGAGGATGTTTTATCATTGATTTTTAGAGAGGGAGGGAGAGTAGGGGGGTTGGAGAGAGGGAAAGAGGGGGGGAGAAAAACCTCAATGTGAGAGAGACACATTGATTGGTTGCCTCCTGCACGCATGCTCTCAGACCAGGTCCAGGGATTGAACCTGCAACCCAGGTATGTGCCCTTGATAGGAATTGAACCCATGACCTTTTGGTGCAAAGGCCGATGCTATAACCACTAACTTACACCAGCCAGGGTTTAAGCCTTTTTTCTATCCTCTTAGGTCATTTATAGAGGCAGTGCCATCCAGCTAGAATGCAAGACACTGTCTATCTATCACTCAGTTCCTGTTGTTCAGTGATAATGTAGTCAGTATGCTTCCGTGACCCCGTGAGGGCTGTGTTTTTAATGGAGTTGCCCTCGATATTTAGATGTTCCAGTTTTCCTCGAGGCCAACATGCTCAGAATGTGAATTTAAAAATTTCGCCCTCTCATTATGCAGTGGAAGTCAGGCACTTTAAATTAATTTTCTGTGGCTCCGAGTTTCCTTTCACTCACTGTGTGTTTTAATTTGGTGAATGTATGCTGCTAGGCACTGGGCACATCATCTGTTTCTCCACTTAGCACTTTTTTTGGGTGAGTCATTTCTGACTACCTCATCATCCTTGCTAGACACGGGTGTCCTGTATATATCTTGTGAGCCACGGGGGACCAGGGCACTGTCACAGCTATAATTAAAGCCTACTGTGCTCCCAGCACAACAAACGGTGTGCGAGTTTAAGGAGCTGGCTTCCTTACTGTGCTTCCCTCTCCTTTTGTTCTTGTCTGTTGTGCTTAGTTTTTGCATTTGGCTCAGTGAGCCTTTTTGTGTTGGTGGCTGGGCATCAAGTGGGGAAAACCTTTCTTCAAAGATGTTTTGAGTAAAACCAGCGGCAGGTGGGCACAGGGAGCCTGTCTGCTGCAGACCCGGCTGTGAGGCCTCCCTGTGCATTCCCTGGCTTCCCTGGGGCAGCGGGAGTTCAGCCTCCCTGTTCCCCTGAAACTCTTGATTTCCAAATCTGCCACCTCCGCACCCTTCACGGAGACTCAGAGGCACGGCTCCCACTGCCTCCAGCCACTGCCGCCGACCGGCAGCCCTTGCTCACAGAGAGCTGGGTTGGGTTTTTGAACATTTCTTTTCAAACTTGCTTTTGCGTGCTTAGTATGAATGTGCACAGGGAGGAAGTCAGAACGTCGATTGCCAGTCCTATAAGAAACTGTAGTAACCATCATTATGTTCCCATTATAAAGAGTGGCCAGTTGTCAGTCTTTATCATGAATGCCTAAAACACCAAGGCCCAGGTGGCCCAGGACTCACCTCTCCACCTTCACAGACCACCACCTCCAGCAGCCATCCGTTTCTCATACCTTCCTACCCTCCCTCCCCACCTCCCCGCCATAACCATGGTGGGGGGATGGAGTGGGAACACAAGAAAAGGAAGCTGTGCAAAGTGGCAGAAAGCTGAAGTAAGAAAGCATCGTCTGAGAAAGGCTGAGGGCCTTTCGGGCGCTCAGTGGATGTGATAGTCTAATGGGGAAATCATAAATAAGTAAATGCATCCTTCACATATGAGACTGGCACGTGATCATAAATAAGTAAATGCATCCTTCACATATGAGACTGGCACGTGATCATAAATAAGTAAATGCATCCTTCACATATGAGACTGGCACGTGATCATAAATAAGTAAATGCATCCTTCACATATGAGACTGGCACGTGATCATAAATAAGTAAATGCATCCTTCACATATGAGACTGGCACGTGATCATAAGTAAGTAAATGCATCCTTCACATATGAGACTGGCACGTGATCATAAGTAAGTAAATGCATCCTTCACATATGAGACTGGCACGTGATCATAAATAAGTAAATGCATCCTTCACATATGAGACTGGCACGTGATCATAAGTAAGTAAATGCATCCTTCACATATGAGACTGGCACGTGATCATAAATAAGTAAATGCATCCTTCACATATGAGACTGGCACGTGATCATAAATAAGTAAATGCATCCTTCACATATGAGACTGGCACGTGATCATAAATAAGTAAATGCATCCTTCACATATGAGACTGGCACGTGATCATAAATAAGTAAATGCATCCTTCACATATGAGACTGGCACGTGATCATAAATAAGTAAATGCATCCTTCACATATGAGACTGGCACGTGATCATAAATAAGTAAATGCATCCTTCACATATGAGACTGGCACGTGATCATAAATAAGTAAATGCATCCTTCACATATGAGACTGGCACGTGATCATAAGTAAGTAAATGCATCCTTCACATATGAGACTGGCACGTGATCATAAATAAGTAAATGCATCCTTCACATATGAGACTGGCACGTGATCATAAATAAGTAAATGCATCCTTCACATATGAGACTGGCACGTGATCATAAATAAGTAAATGCATCCTTCACATATGAGACTGGCACGTGATCATAAGTAAGTAAATGCATCCTTCACATATGAGACTGGCACGTGATCATAAATAAGTAAATGCATCCTTCACATATGAGACTGGCACGTGATCATAAGTAAGTAAATGCATCCTTCACATATGAGACTGGTACGTGATCATAAATAAGTAAATGCATCCTTCACATATGAGACTGGCACGTGATCATAAATAAGTAAATGCATCCTTCACATATGAGACTGGTATGTGCTCTCAAGTAAATGAACGGAGGTGCCGTAGAGGTTGAATTGAGACCTGAAAGAACCAACTATACGAGTGACATGAGGAACAAGCATAGGAGCCCAGGTCAGGTGGGTTTCAGACCAAGTGACGCCCAAATCAGAGGTATTAGATGTGTCCTCTCCCCAGGCCAGAGAGATCCTGGTGACTGCTGCCCACAGCTTTCTGGCACACCAACCACCAGCCCTGCAAAAACAGTCCTTAATTAAATAAAGCCTTCTTCCACAGGCCATAAAGCAGCTGCTCCGTTATCCCTCTCTTCCAGCCGGCATAGCATTGAGAGGGTTTTTATCAGGAGTGGACGCTTGGGTATCTGGCATCTTAAAGATTAAAAGACTGAGGAGCAGACCCATAGTGAACTTACCTAACCTTGTGACTAAAATTGGCAAAAATCCCCTTTTCCTTTTGAAATTGCACGTGTATTTGCTTTCTCCAAAGCAGGGACTGCATCTAGGGCTGGCCTGGCTGGTGACTCAGAATGAGAGATTGGGAAAGTCCTTGTCCTGACAATTATTTTTAGTGTGCTGCTGAGGTGTGTATGCGGTGTGCGGTATTCAGTGCTGGGCTTCAGTGCTCTCCCATGAATTGGGCAACATCCTCGGGAGGCTGCTGCTGACAAGGTGCAGGCAGGGCCTGGCTGTTGTGTTTGGGAGCAAGGAGCAGACACCAGCACTTTTATGTCTGAGGCTACCAGCTAGCAAAGTTGCAGCGTCAGGAGCCAAATGGACTGGGGAGAGTCTGGCGTCCTATCTCCAAAATTAGAAGCAATTCTTAAAATGCCACAGGCTTTCATGGATCTGTTCTCTAATAGCTCTACAAGTAGAGAGTGAGATTTTTAATGGTCACTAAAGATCTTGCAAATGTCATCGACTCGCTGACTATGTATCTTGGAGAATAAGGGGAACGTGGGGCTAATAAGTAAATCCCAGGCAGCCTTCCGAGGGAAATTACTGGAGGGAAGAGGAAAGTGAGCGTGCAGGAATTTCTAAACCCATGTGGATCGGAGCGGGACAGGAGCAGAAAATTTGAGTGATGTTTGGATCTAGGAAGAAGTAGAGACAGCATTGCCAAGGGGTTCAGGACATGGAGTCAGATACTTTGGTTTCAAATCTCAGCTCCACAACTTGTTACCTGAGTAATCTTGGACATCTTCTTCAAGTTGTTCTGAGCATCAGTTTCCTTATCAGTAAAATAAAGACAATCATAATGCCAATTCCCATAAAAGCAATCTAGGTCATTCACATACAGTGCCTAGCACTAAGCCTGACCATTTAGTTTCCTTATCAGATACTGGTAGACTTCCTGGAGTTGTTGAGGAATGCCTTTTCTGGCTTGGCTTGCAGTGGTCCTTCCCAAAGAGGGTAAGGGCAGCATCCTTTACTTTTTAAAGTATTCATCTCTACTTTACTGGACAGTGCGTGGCCACCAATTAAAGGTGAGTGCAATAGCAACACATTCGCTAAAGCAACGAACAAAGGAGTCATCAGCAGGACTGCACAAAAGCTATATGGAATAAAAATCACTTTCTAGATTTTTAACCCCCTCTCTCTCCCTTTCTCCCTCACCTCCTGGTTGGTAAAGGTTTTACTCTGCATAACTTACACCCCGACGTTTGACCTGAACGGGAGCGCTGTGCTGAAGATCGCGGAGGTGAGTGCCCGCTGCTGCCCCAGCCCTCGGGTGCTGCTTGCACTTGTGCTGCTTGCTCACTGCTGCTTCACCCCAGCTGGCCTCCATACTGGGCAGAGGGAGCCCAGCAGTGGTGGGGAAAGGCCTTCTCTGGTCATGACCCTGGGGAACATCCACTAAGGATTGGATCTGTGAGAAGAAGGCTCGGTGGTCCATCGTCCTAAGTTTTGGTGCTTTGCATGCTTTGATTGGCTTAATTTAGTCTTTAACCATAGAAATAACAGTACTGGTTCTCCCCACTGTGCCTCAGAATGCATTCTTAGTCTGTTTTTTTCCCCAAGCTCAATTGGAAAGCATTTGATTTTTCTTCAAATGCTTTTTTAAGAAACCAGGTATTTGATTTAGAGAGATGTTTATTGATTAAATTCCATACCTGTCTCCTAATCCCCGATGAGTCTATTTTGTAGCTGTCACTGGAAAGCCTTCTCTTTTCTGTCTGTATTGATCTGTACTGCAGCCTGGAGCAATCACTACCTTCCAGCGCTCCCATGAGTATGCCCTAGAGGAAACTGGGCTTTTTGACTGTCTGGTATAAACCTTTGGTTTTTGGATAAAAAGTACAGCTCTAGAATAAACCTCATTATTCCAGAACTGTACTTTAATATACTTAGAATAATTTTCTTTCCATTTCTCGAAAAGATTATCTTCAAGATTTGTATGTTTTAGCAAGTGTATACCTTCAGACTTTAATGAGGCATTGATATTCTGAATTCTTAAATTACAGAGAAAAAGAAAGCTTATTAGTACTCATGGGTTTTTGTTTTTATAATTATTACTGTTTATTGGGTATACCAGGTAGATGCTAAACACTTTGAATATGTTTTCCTTTTCATTATTTCTATCATCATTTGTATCTATCTATATCTATCTATCTATCTATCTATATATATATATATATATATATATATATATATAATTTAAATAATCACAACCACCAAGCTAATTAACATATCTATCACCTCACCTAGGTAACATTGTCATGAGTAGTATTTGTATTGGCTGATTTATGGATTTATATAGTATTGTATGCCAGTAAAGGGAGAAAATTATTTTTGAGCACACGGACATTTTTGTGAGTCAAGTCAAAATAAAAAGAAGCAGGTAATTAGCTGACCTCTCACTATAGTATAAATCAGTTCTCAAATATGTATTTACATGGTTGGAAAGAACACTTTTACTTCACACATTTATATGTTTTACTCCATACAGATAAAGAAAGAGAATAGCTGTCAATATTTTTTTAAACTGAATTTTGAGAGTACTCATTATGGGCAGGTTCATTCTTTTCTAATGTGGTAAGAACACTTAGGATGAGATCTGCCCTCTTAACATAATCTTCAGGGTAGTACAATACAGTAATCCATAATAATAAAAGTATAATGTACTAATTAGACTGGACAACCTTCTGGATGAAGCTGGGGCTGCAAGGGAAGCCCAAGTCCCATGTGCCAGAGAGAAGTGGGTGCCAGTAGCCCAGGAGCCAGGGGAAGGAAGTCCTACTCTTGCATGAATTTTGTGCATCAGGCCTCTAGTGTTAACTATGAACACAATGATCTAGAGCAGATCTCCACAATTTATTCATCTTATATAACTGAAACTTTATACCCATTGAATAGTAGTTCCTCTCTATCCCTCTTGGCAAACACGACTCTACTCTGTTTTTTAGAATTTGACTATTTTAGATTCCCCATTAGTTTTATTTATTTCAGATATCTGTTTATTATTTTTGCATTGTAATAGAACCTAAAGAAATCTCCTAGAGAATATGCATGTTAACATCTAATGATAGCCTCTTTACAAAAGGTTTATATTTCATGTTATGTAGAATATTTGATTTAATCAAAAGCTACTACAAAATCTAATTCTTACATCTATCACCTTATTTTTTACATTTTTTATTGTTGATAGTATTACAGATCTCTCTGTATTGTACTATACTTAAAATTATGCTTCTTATATGTGCTCTGACCAGAGATTGAACTTCCACCTTGGCATATCAGGATAATGCTTTAACCAACTGAGCTACTCAACTAGGGCTCAAACATATTTCCTAAATGCCTTAACAGTTGGATCTGCTACAGAGTTATTCCACTGTTCCATCTGAATATGTGTTTTCACCAATAAGACACAGGGTCAGCTTTTAAAAAGGAGGGGAAATGCCCCCACTCAATCCATATTTAGGTAACCTGGCATAAAAAGAGCATAGAGTAGATCTATTTGTAGGAAAAGATAGCAGCAACTTACAAATGTAAGTATATGGATCAGCAGTAATAAATATTAGGTTATCAAATGAATAGTATATAGGTAATTTAAGAAAGGATAATAGTAGAATCATCTGAAATCATTGTTTACTTCAGATACATGAGCTAGGAATAAACATTTTTCTAAAAGGCCTTCATTTTATGGGTGTGGTTTTATAAATTTTATTTGCAAAATAGCTTACAGTCTTTTGGTTTTCACTACAGCAATCATTTAAGAAATGCTTTTTCATCACCAAAATGGGGGGATTTCCAAAGAGATTTATACTGCCACACACACAAAAATAATAGCGCTCTGCAGATTTAATGATACCCAATGATTTTTATAGGCCCTCAAGTGCTTTTCACCTGCTAACTTAGCCTTTGAAAATCTGCATCTCTATTTTCAAAGCAGGACATTTCAGCCTAAAACTACCATTTAGCTCCAGGAAGTTTTCTTGAACTTTCACAGCTGGCATGATTCAGTGGTTGAGCGTCAACCTAATCAGGAGTTACGGTTCTATTTCCTATCGGGCACAGTCCCAGGTTGCAGGCTTGATCCCTAGTGTAGGCATGCAGGAGGCAGCCAATCAATGATTCTCTCTCATTAATGATAATCTCTCTCTCTCTCTCTCTCTCTCTTTCTCTCTCTCTCTCTCCCTCCTTCCCTCCCTCCCTCCCTCCCTCCCTCCTTCCCTCCCTCCCTTCCTCCCTCCCTCCCTTCCTTTCTCTCTGAGATCAATAAAAATATATATTTTTTTAAAAAAAGATAAGTCTTTAACTTAAAGGAAAAAAAAGTGATGTTTTCTTCTCTTGTCATGTTTGATATAGCTAGGGAAATAATTTATAAAAATGCTTTCAAATAAACCATTAAAGCAGCTATGGAAATGTTGGCCAAGAGTCCAGACATTCTTTTCTTTCATACTCTGGTAACCATTACTCAAAGATAGTGCTTATCCTGAAACCTGTGGATCAGGAAATGGGATTTGTACGTTAAGTATGAAAATGAGGCTATTTCCCCAAGGCACTGCTGAAACTTTACAAGGATCGTTAAGCATTTAAAATGTAAATAGGAAGGTGGCACCTTTGTTAGTGTGTCTAACTTAACTTGCTTAATTAAACTGCGGTAAAGAAATTTTTTCAGTACAGGGTTTTCTACGAAACAGCAGGAATTAGAAATATCACCAAATTTAGAAATGATGTTTCATTGGGAAAAACACTCCTGCTGAAAGCCTTTATGGCATTTTCTCAGTGAGAAAGTTGAGTTCATAAATGTGTATTTTCTGGTTCGATCTCATTAACTCACTGGAAACTTCTAGTCTCTGATTCTGTGGCATGCTGTCAAGTTCAAGCAGAGTTTGTCTCAATTATTGTTTTATTTAAGATTCTTACTTTTCAAGGACCTTCTTTCACTTCCATCTATCTATCAACTCTCCATCCTTCAATTCCAAAACACTGGTTAGTAATATTTGCTAATAATAGCTGAGCTCTTAGGGCATGTCTGCAGTAGCATTTCACATACATTCTCTTTTAATGTTTACCACAACCAAGCTAGATAAAGAATCCCAGGGAAAGTGAAGTTCATTTGCTTGTCTAAGGTTCTTTAGCTAGACATTCAAATCCATATTTATATGCAAATATGTGCTATTGACCACTATGCAGTATTGCTTCCTGGTAACCTCCATCTTAGAGGTAGGATCTTGCCATAATAATATTGGCAACCGACTGAAATTCTTAGGAGTCTTACCCTCCTGAGACCTTTACGTAGGCATTTAATTTGATAAAGGCTCTATGGTCTTTTTTACATGTGAAGCAGAAGTATTGATGAATTTCACCTTCTTTGTGTGACCATGGATTCAAGTGACCATTAGTTATATGCCATTTTCTTAAGTATCTTAAACTATTGATATACAGTTTATCTTTTCTGAGGATTGTTACTATCACAGGTTTTGGAGTGTAGTTAGTTCCACTTGTTACCCCAGGGACCTTCAAAAACATTGAAGCCTAAGATCTGCCTCCAGAGATTTCAATATAATGATTCTGGTTGTCATTAAAGTGTTTTGTTTTGTTTTTAATTGAGCTGACTTACAACCCTTGAAATGTTCAATAGTCTATTTCTGAGATAGACTTCAAATAAAGTATCCTACAATTAAGGAGCGGATAGTCTTCAGATAAGACACAGATGACCTATCTATTTCCCTTTGAAGCATCTTATTTGCTAGGTTCTTGTAAGGCTTGGGGGAGTAGCCCTACCTCCTGGCAAGAGAAATGGCCAAAGGAGCCCGAGCCATTGTCTCAAACCAGCTGCGGCCATTGGAGTAAACAATTCCCATTTTAAGGGACTGCTTTCTCCACTTTTCCTTCTGGGAACACTTTCTTCTTTGTGGGTAAGTCTCTGTACTCTGTTTTGACTCCTCTGAGGTTTCTGTTCTTTGGCAACTTACTGCCAGATGGGCTTTGAGCAAACAAGTTTTTTTGTGCAAGGAATTTCCACACTTGCCTTTAATTCTCTGTCTTGCTCTTGAAGAAGTTATTTAGAATTAGGAGACACGGAGCAATGCAGAGCTCCTCTCTGCTTCCTTTGGGCTGGCTCTGAGGGCAGAGGCTAGAGTTCAGTGGATCCTTGTAGACCAAGCAAAAGGCTCTGCCTGGGAAGGTGCAGGGATGGATGGGCTGAGGTATCTGAATCCATTTGAACATGGCAGCTAAGCCAAGAAGAATGAGAAAGAGGAAGAGGGAAGTAACAGTCAGAGTTGTCCAAAAGAGTTTCCTTTTAACTGAGATCCAAAAGGAAAACCAGCAAAGTTTTTACTCAAGCATGGTGATCAGACTTTCAGTTCGTGTGTGTGTGTGTGTGTGTGTGTGTGTGTGTGTGTGTGTGTGTGTGTGTCTGCCTGTGTGTTTGCCTCAAAAAGACCCATTTATTGAGGTGCTCCTCTTTCACACCTACTTGTTATTGCCATTCAGCTGGAAACAGCCTGGTCACTGACTTGTCCATGTGATAGAACAGAGTTTAGACGTGTAGTGTTAATCAAAATTTTCTTAGTTTCTAGCATGATCAACAAGCATTCATAGTCTTCTCTGCATAAAAGACAATTGTACTTTCTTGCAGTTTAATCTCTGATCCTTTTATTTTTATCACCATAAGTTATTTTTATCTCCATAAAATGTTTCCAATTGGAAACCTGCTAGCTCTTCTCTCTAAGGGACTTATTACTCAGTACCACGCACTGTTTTGACAAAGCTGCACCACTAATCCTTCAGAGAGGAAAGAGAAGGTAAATGCACAATTCAATACAGTGAAGCTCATATGCATTTTGCAAAGTTAAGCACATTTCTATTGTGGAAGCTTTTTTAAAAACATCCCTTTGGCCAGTGTTGAATATCTGCCACATTCTACTCTGCTGCTTCATATTTAATCATAGTGAGTCCATCCTGGGTTTAACCTAGTACTGTTATTTATCAGTCTATTTACTCAATGACATAAAACTTGCTATATATGGCTTGCAGACTTTGCTTTGTGTTTGTTTGTTTTTTTTACTTCTGCTGTCGGGGTTTAATTTGCTTCACTAACACTTTGTTTTTGCTCTCAGTTGTGTTTAGCATGCCGTAAACATGGATGTCCACAATTGCATGAAATGACCAAAATGTCCATTATGAAGCTCCTCACTGCCCTGTGTCTTCGTGTGTTCCCTGGTGATCAGGGGCCTGTGGCTTTTCACAAGGTATTGGACTTGGTCCCTTGAGCCTCTGGCAGAGGTCCAGAACTGAGCTTTTTAAATGTCAATTCTACACTACGAAGGCAAAGGGCATGGAACGTAGAAGTGACCTAGGAGATACAACAAGAGGAAATTGATGAGCCCTTTCTCAGAAACTCAGCCTGTATTTGGACTTGGTATTCTCTTAGCTTTTCTGATTCAATGTGCTCATTTTAGCACTGCCCTATAGTGGAGAAAAAACAACACCCATTCACATTGTGCAAACTCATTGGCTTTTACTATGTGGTCAGGTTTATCATGGAAACCCTAGTTCTGTGAATTTTAGCACTTTAGCCATTTATTATTATTATTATTATCATTATTATTAGAGCAAAGGTAAGGAACTTTTCTTTAGAAGATGTCAGGATAGCTGAAAGCATTTCTTCCTGGGCATCTAAAGACAGCAAGTTATCATACACATGCTCATTTTTACATTTAAAAAGATACCCTTTGGTCACCTGAGTATTTATAACCCCATCGTGGGTAGAATGAGCTTCTTTGATTAATCCTTTTTTTAAAAAAAGCAGAGTAAACATGCTTACCTTTTTCCTTAATAAAATGCCTCCTGCAGTAAGTCATTTCCACTGTTAAACCTCTAAACACTAAAACCAGTGGTGACATTGAAAGTTGAAGAAACACATTTGGTACTGGGACGTTTTCTACATACAGTGCAGTTTGTGTCACTTAAAATCCAGGCCCTCGGGTGTGCTTTCTTTCATGGGTTTAAAGTGACTGACATAATTTTTTAAGGAAGGTTTTATAGTGGGTATGGCTCATAATATTCAGTAGAATTGTGTTTATATTGATATCAAGTATGTAGTTCAGCTTTCAAAATAGCTACTCTTTCATCTTTAATGCTTCTGAGACTTCAAATTTCTCCTGAAATTTAAGCTTAGCAACCTGAAGATCAACAGTTGTAAAGATTTCGTGGGAAAATATAATATTTAAAGAAAACTTAAATTCTGAGGTATTAATAGTACCAGAGTGCCTAATTACACTATAGAGAATTCGGTTTCATCAAAGTGAACCAGTGCACTCATTTAGATGTATTTTCAAGGCTTTTAAACTCTTTTATCACATGCAGAAATAAAGGCCTTACAGGACTAAAACACCTTTTTTTCTAAGCATGTATAAATAGTACCTTCTAGTACATTACAATCCATGATCATCTGAGAAAATGAGTTTAAAGTTAACGTGCCACTGAAACCAGTTTGGCTCAGTAGTAGAGCATTGGTCTGCGAACTGAAAGGTCCCAGGTTCGATTCTGGTCAAGGGCATGTACCTTGGTTGCGGGCACATCCCCGGTAGGGGGTGTGCAAGAGGCAGCTGGTCGATGTTTCTCTCTCATGGACATTTCTAGCTCTTTATCTCTCTCCCTTTCTCTCTGTAAAAAATCAATAAAATATATATATAAAGTTAACGTGCCCTAAATGGTAATTTGAAAAGTAAATATTTTGAAACTTGCTCTTACTTTTTTCACATGATATGAATAAATCCAAGCCAACTTCCAAATATACTTTTGAGTTTTAAATGCTCATTTGGAATATTAAGTGTTTAACTGGAGATAAATTTAACTGTTAGAAAATATTTACTTTTACTTAGTTAATTTTACCGAAAAGGCAATTACAGAGAGGCCTGACAGAAAATTCTAGCTTAAGCATTCGCAACAAAGGTTAATATTTAGTCTCTCTTCCATCTCAGTTATTAATCATCAAATTAACTTTGCCATTTAGGTGAGAACCTAGTATTTTCACTGTAAATAATCTTGGAGTTATTCCTAGAAAAATAATTTAGGCATACTACATCCCTTTTACTTTTCGTAGGACTAAATATGATTAGAAAATGGAAAGGATTGCATATATTGGAGAGAAAAAAAGTGGACCAATTTAAAGTACGCATTTATTGTTATGCCCATTCCTGTATCTTTCAGAGAAATTAGAGGCAACAAAATCTAAAAAGTCATGACACTGAGCAGCAGCATCTTCAAGTGAGAGATTTTTACCCCTCCAAAAATTGGGATTTCTCCATGCTGCAGCCATCATGGAGCCTGCTCAAGTTCCACTGGACATACAGACTCACAGGACACAACTAGGCCACAATTGGCATTATATTCCCTGGGCAGGATATAGGACAGGGAGCAGACACAGGTCATTGACAGGTGTTTGTCTTTCCTAGGCATCCTAACACCAGTACTGAGGTAGCCTCTGGCTCTCAGATGTCAGTTTAGGAGCCAGAAGATAAGAGCACCTTGTCGGTGCAGTCACCTTGGCTTAGGAGCCTCATATTTCAACTAAAGTTGACCCTTGAACAACACGGAGATAGGGGCACCACCCACTCATGCAATAGATAATTCAGGTGTAACCTTTGACTCCCCCAAAACTTAACTACCAATAGCCTGCTATGGACTGGAAGCCTTCTCAATAACATAAACAATTGATTGACATATGTTAATGTTATATACTGTATTCTTACAATAAAGTAAGCTAGAGAAAATAAAATGTTCTTAATAAAAATCATAAGGAAAAGAAAATACATTTGCAGTTCTGTACTATATTTATCAATACCATAAGTTTTTAAAAATTCATGTGTAAATGAACCCAGGCAGTACAAGCCCGTGTTGTTCAGGGTCAACTGTGTGTATGTATGTATATATATTTATATATATATATGTATAGGAACCAACATATCTCTGTCAGAGCTTACAGAGTTCCCTCAGAGGACATGAGTTATGACATGGGCTACTCAGGGATGCTCAAATCTGTGACTCCTTACTAGATTTTTAAAGTACATCCCCAGTTTTCCCAATTCAGATACAGCTTGGTAATTGGGGACATTTTACCATAAGCCATGCTGCCTAGTAACACAGCTGATGTCCACCTTTATCAGGTTTCCAGGAGAACACCGAGAGCGAGTTAACCCAAGGTCAGGCTTGTTTATAGAGCAGGAGAAAGGGCTTCAGTTATCCTCTCCCCACACCTGGTAACTCAGGAGTTAGTAACTCTGCTCTATTTTGCCCTGAAAGGAGCTTTTCCTGGTTAATTTCCAGCCACCTGAGTTTGTCCCGGAATTATTGGGCATATCTTTTTTTTTTAAAATATTGATTTTTTTACAGAGAGGAAGGGAGAGGGATGGAGAGTTAGAAACATTGATGAGAGAGAAACATCAATCAGCTGCCTCCTGCACACCTCCCACTGGGGATGTGCCCACAACCAAGGTATATGCCCCTGACCAGAATCGAACTTGGTACCTTTCAGTCCCAGGGTCAACGCTTTATCCACTGAGCCAAACCGATTAGGGCTATTGGGCATATCTTAACACCACTATGTTGCATTCTCCTCTGGTGCTCAGAAGTGTGAGCTTCTAAGAGGGACGATCTGTAGGGAAATAATACTTTTCCTACATGTTTAAAACACAAATGCTCAGGGATTTAACATATATGTAGGACTTATATATGTAACTAGTTCTAAATCAGGCTGACTTTCTGTTTAAGAGCAATTGCATATCCTCTCTGGTTAATACCAAAGCATGTTGGTAATACACTGATATCTATGGAGTGTGTATGTTGCTGTCTTATCTCTTTACCAGGTGTGCATTGAGACATACACATGTAGCTGTCACCAGCGTAGTATAAACACTGCTGTGCGGGCCACTCTCAGCCAGATGCTGAGTGACTTGACTTTGCAGTTACGACAAAGGCAGGAGAATACGGTGAGCCTTGCCAGTGTCTCCGTGTGTAACTGCATGTATGTGTCCCCCACCCCACAAGCTCCCCACCCCACATACCCCCCACTCCACACACCCCCTGCCCCACCAGCTCCCCACCCCCACACTCTGCCAGGACTGCTCCCTACAGAAACAATGGAAGGGCTGGCTTGGTTTTGAAGAACATTTATTACTATAAATTAAGCTCCTAAATATGTATTTGCCTATTTCATTCCATAGCTTTGGGAGTGTTTTCCTTACAGTTTCTGTCGTTATTTTAGTCATTATTTTGAAATTCACTTTTATAATCATTAAAAACAAACATATCAGATTAAAAATATGTTATAGAAAAGAATTATAACATATTGACAAATACCAGAAGTAAATTCAAAATTAATAGCAGTTAATTCCACGCTTTGAGGTTTGTATCTGTGGGTTTCTAACTAACTAAAGAATTGTGGCTGGTGGTCTCCTTCGCCTGCGGGCACCGCAATGAGGCTGGACTTGTCATCTCTCTGTCATCAAAACACCCTGGAGCTTTTTGCCCTGAACTGGAACAGATTGTGTAACATGAGTGTTGCAGGGAAAACATAAATGTAATTGGCTTCTTGCATAAATTATCTTCCGGGAATGTTAACAAGGAGATGATTCCTCTTCAAAATTGGTGTTTTGTTTTGTCTTTTAAAACTGCCTCTGTAAGAACTCAGATTAAAGTTCTTTTAAAATCTGAAAAGAAAAGTATTTTGAAATAAATACTTTGTTGTTTTTTAGGATGGGAACTGTCAGTCACAGTCTGAAATATCTCAGAAATTAATTTTAGAATTTAAGATTTTATGTTTAACTTTAAATATTGCTAACTTTTAACCTCAATTACTATGTAATTTTTAGAAAATCATGGACTTATGTGGAACTTTTGAGATTAGTCAAATTTTTTCATTCCTCATAAAAACAGATGAGGACACAAAGCCCAAAGAGGTGAAATTGAAATCTAAAATTAATGAGCTTACCAGTGAGAGAGCCAGAACTACCCCCTGCTCTCCCAAGTCCCAGCCCAGGTTATTAATATGAGCTCTGGCAGCCAGTGTTGGGAAAAACAAACACTAATCAGATAAAAACTAATATTGATAATTTTCTTTTGTGTTTTCTCTGTCCAAAGTCTAAGCTTCTATTTTAAAAGTAATAGTTTTAATTTTAAAAGTTTTTGAACATATTTTTATTGATTTCAGAGAGGGAAGAAGAGGAATAGAGAGAGAAACATCAATGATGAAAGAATCATTGATTGGCTGCCTCCTACATGCCCCCTATTGGGGACTGAGCCAGCAACTTGGGCATGTGCCCTTGACCGGAATCCAACCCGGGATGCTTCAGTACACTGGCCGACCCTGAGCCAAATCAGCTAGGGCAGATGTTTTTTTTTTTCCTTTGATCATAGCTAGGGCAAATTTAAAGTATTTTTATTATATTAGCCTTACTCTTTGTTAAAATAATTTCATGTATGCTAACATTTGAATGTGGTGGTGTGACAATATTAATTTAAAGTAAGTTCAAATTTATAAATAGAAAACATTAAGAGAAAAAAAAGTATGTTTAATGGAAATAAACTCAAGATGTTGAGAATTACCATGATCATATACAGTCAGTCACATTCCATCTTTTCTAAATGGCCACACAATGAAATATTAGAATAGTAATGATACCTTAATGTTTTGAGATGGAATATTTCAGTACAACTTTGTAGTTTCAAAGTGGTTTCAATTATATTAGTCATTTAATCTTGTTTTTAAAATTTTAAGCAGGAGATCATTAGGTGTCAGATGACTCAGCCTTACAGCTCATGTTGCTCCTTTGTAAGAATGGTGACAGGTATATTTGGTAAGAGCTGGATAAAACCCAAGGGTTATTTGCCTCTGACCTGTGTGGCTAATCAGCCTTCTGGTCTTGCCCATCACTGACCATCTGGACTCACTCCAACCGGAGGCAAGATCCCAAATTAGGTAGAAAATTAATGTTTCCTGTTATTGCCTTTCTGTTACTCATGCGGTCCCTGGAGATGTTTTCATGTCTCAGAAAGACTCAGTACTCAGTATGCTAATATTCAGAGCATTTGTGATGTCTACTAGAGAGACTAAGTCTTGCCACCTAAGAAAGGTTATTTTAAAAAGCCATTAAAGGGATTGGTCCAGCCGAAACCGGTTTGGCTCAGTGGATAGAGCGTCGGTCTGTGGACTGAAAGTCCACATATGATTCCGGTCAAGGGCATGTACATTGTCTGCAGGCACATCCCCGGTGGGGGGTGTGCAGGAGGCAGCTAGTTGAGGTCTCTCTCTCATCGATGTTTCTAGTTCTCTATCCCGTTCCCTTCCTCTCTGTAAAAAAATCAATAAAATATTAAAAATAAATAAATAAAAGGAATGGTCCAAGGAAGCTATGTTTCCTGCTTCAGGACACTGAGCATTATCTGGGAAAGCTATGTGGTGTGCAGCGTGACCCATCTCTGGAAAGACATTGCAGGCCATCGCAGAATTAGGAAGACTTAAATGCTATGGAAAGAAAATCAATCTAGAATGCCAAAAACACTAACATGAACTGTGCCTTCAACCTAATGTCTGCCTGCATTCCACCCTCCTCCCAGTACAGGTTAGCATTTCACAGAGACTGTGTAGAAGCAGCTGAGCTTGCAAATTCGGGAACAGAGAATGCTAGAAATATGCTCCTATAAAAAGTTTAAAAGCAAACAGTTCCATAGGATGATTTATTGTCTTGTAGGTGATTAGTGTGAAAATGCCTTCTTACTATCTCCCTATGCTAAGAGTTGGGGAGACTGTAGAGCCTATTTCCTATTCTTTGTTCAGCAGTCATGGAATTCTCCCTGCAATGGAAATCAGTGTAGCTATTTGTAAATACCTTTCCCTTCCTAATCTCCCTTCCGTCAAGGTTATGTCTCTACTTTGATAGTTCCAGATCTACCAACCGATAGCCTAGCCTGGTTGGTCTGGTCAGACAGTTGGAAATTAATATGCCACCCATCAAGTAGGAAACTGGTACTTCTGACCAGCAGTCATCTTTGGACCTGGATTTTGAAATCCAGAAACAGATCCTTCTAAGACTCTGTATTCTTCAGGTGCTAATCAGAGTGTAGTCTGTGACCTTGGGAAATATAATTATCCCTGCAAAGGTAACTCACCTGTTTACGTGGGTATTGCTCCCAGTCATAGCTCAGCACCCTGGAATGAGATAGTGTATCACAGGGATTAACTCCCAGGAAGTTTATGGACTCTTGAATGAATTATTTTTGCAATTGGTAAGCTCAGTTGCAGACATATGCTTTCCTAAAAACCATGAACAATGAAATGCTATCAAGACCTGGAGGGTGAGCTTAAGGTGAGTTAGCTGAGCCCAGAGCACTCAAAATGACATCTTGTTTCTAAGGATTTTTCATTGTTTAAGTCCAGATTTTTCTTGCCTGAATCTACTAATTTTCCTGTGTGTGTCTCCCTTATTAGATTATTGAAAACCCGGATGTCCCACAGGAGTTCAGGAGTCAAGGTATTGAATTTGATTTTTGCTCGTTCTCAGTTTGAAATGTGGGTATTATAGAAGTAACACCCAGTTGCTTGGTGTTGGGGAACAGAGCTCTCAGGAGAGTCCACAATTCTCCTTGGAGCTTCTGTGTAGCTTTGCCTTACATGGTATGATTAAACCAGCTGTGGTCTTCCTTCTGATCCTACACTCTTATGCCAGCCACTCCTGGTCCTGTTGCAACAGTGAGAGGGAAATGAACTCTTCATAGACCTTCCTGTTGGAGGCTGGTGTTTTAGTTACTTCGTTCTTTATGAATCAGGTGTATTAATTGTTAAAATGAGAATGGGATGGAAGGTGGTAGAACCCTTAATGGTACAAAGTGCTATTGCACCCGAAGTATGTTTGTGAAGTACCCGTTTTTTTTTTTATATGAAAAACAAGTCATCTCATAAGGAATCTTGCAGAAGGACAGGAATCTAGGTAAGGAACTTACATTCTGACCTCATAGGAAAAGGAAAAAACAGAGGTCCATATGAAATTAATAAGCAGTTTGATTTTTTTTTTAATGTTTGGTGGTATTGTTTTCAGAAAGAGATGGAAAATTCAAATCATCTTAACATAAAAAAGGGTAATGTACATTTTAAATCAGATTTTATTCAGTGATTTAAAAATACTGGAAATACTGTCTTTTTTTGATAGTTTTGACAGTTAACAGGGAGAAGAGATGGAGTAGAGAGATGATAGAAAAGCGGGATGAAAGGGGGAGAGAGCTACACATAGCCACAATAAGGAGAAGGAGAGTAAATAAAAGAAACGAGAAAATATCTGAAGTCATTTTCTAAATAATTGCTGAAGTGGTTGTTCTAGCCACATCTCTCTATGTTGTCAGGCTGTAGATTGGAAGTGCTACAGAATCTCTTCACCTTTTAATGCTCCCAGCGATAGGCTCCAACATTTTCCACCCCTCTTTCCTTCTTTTTTGGCAATTGCAATTCCCATAAAATCTTCACTTTGTTAGTAGAGTGATGTTATAAACTGGAAGGGAGTTCAAAGTCCTCTTGGTCAAAGATACATCTTTAAAAATATATTAGTACAAAATTGATGGACTCATTTGAAATTTATCTCAAATTGAGTTTAAGGACTATTTGTGAGTTTTATTTTTTTTAAAATGTTTTTATTGATTTTCAGCGAGAGGAAGAAAGAGGGAGAGAGAGAGATAGAAACATCAATGCTGAGAGAGAATCATTGGTCAGCTGCCTCCTGCATGCCCCCTATTGGGGATGGAGCCCAAAACCTGGGCATGTGCCCACCAGGAATCGAACCATGACTTCCTTGTTCATAGGTCAATGTGCAACTACTGAGCCACACCAGATAGGCAGTTTTATTTATTTTAAACTGTGTTTTATAATTTACCATCCTGTCTGTCTGAATTTAAGATCACAGAGTCTAAGGATCAGCATTTCTCTTTCCCCTGCCCTCTTCCAACTTTACTTTTATTTCTCTCTTATACTCTGGCCATTTCCCCCTCTGTCTTCCTAGACTTCATGGGTATCCATTCATTTATTTATACATCTGTCAAATACTTATCCACATTTGTATAGATCTTTACAAGTTTTTATTTTTTTTTTTAAACACACAAATGCTCCCACTTGCTACTTTCCTTGGCCCAATTATTTGGTGTAATGGGTATTATCTCATCCTAACAAAAGAAAAATTGATGTTTATTCAAGCTTATGCAGTCAGCAACTTGTGGACTAGTACTTAAGTCTATTCCAAATTTCAGCCTTTTTCTAATGTACTCTACTGCTTCTGTGGGAATTTTGTTGCCGGTTCATGATTTGAACATGCTTTTTTTTGTTTTTGTCCCCTGCCTCCCCCTGAAATTTTTTATTGCTCTATTAATACCGGTGCTCTAAGGATGGTGGACAAATAAAGTGGTCAAGATGGTGACCAGATGTTTTGCCCTCCTTCTCTGGCTTCCTAGTTTGAAAGGCCCACCTTTCTTAAATGCTGCCATATTTTATCTTGTTGGGATACAATTCTGCTCACAAAAAACCCAGAAAAACAAAAGGTCAGAATAAGGGACACATATTCTGGCCTAAATATTGAGAAAATCATTGTCAATTATGGTGATTCTTAAATAAATATCTTTTCATTAAGTGTGAATGAATTTAATAAGAAATAACCTCTTGTTTTCTTTTTGGACTAACTTTTCAGTATTTTACTTTAGAAAGGAGTCATTATATTAAAATGTATTACATTTTGGTGGCCCAAGGAAGTCAGCATCTGAAAATCATCGTTTTAGTCCTGAAAACATGAGGAGGAAGGAAAGGACCATTGAGGGACCGTTGAGTGAGATGTCTAATACCTATAACCTCCTCTGTTTGCAGGGTCAACCGTAGAGGCCCTCTGTGACGACCTTGTCTCTGTGCTCACCGTTCTGTGTGAGAAGCTACAAGCCGCCATCAAGTAAGTGCCTTCAGATTCGGGCTCTTATTCACTAACAGTCTATTACCAACATGACTTTTGTCTTTAACAATATGCAAAATGGCAGATCATGGGGACGATAGCTCCTCCCACTGGTTTTAATTTCTGAGAAATAGTTTCAGTGACCTTGGGCAAGCCTGCATTACCCAGTACTATTACTGATAGATATAACTTTCTGATGAGGAAATGCAAGGAAGAGTCAGTCCCTCAAGCATGGATCCGAATGGAAAGAATGTTGGCTGAGAACTAGTAGCTGTGAAGGCTAGTACTCACCTGGACATATCCCAGTGCGACCCTGAGTCTCATCAAACTGTTGCACCTTTCTCCTCAGTTACTGGCAGAATTGGGCACTGTGGTCTTTTTCTGTCTCATTGAACATTTCCTGAGCCTCTGAGCTCACATGCATATCTTTAAAAAGGACATGATACCCTGACTTTTATACACTTGTCATTTTTATGGCAATTTAATTTAATCAGCTGTCAAGGATGCTTTTTCTGTACTCTCTGCCCCTGTCTTAGCATTATTAGGGAAATAAAACAAAGACCACTAAGACTTTGAAAAGTACAAAGGCTATGTTCACTATTTTGCAGGCAAGGGAAAACCAATAAGCTAAACTTTGTGTGTTTTTTTTCTGAGTCATTTACTAAGGGAAAACGCTAAAGGTTTTTAAATGCTACAAAAGTTGGGGAACTCATGGTAATTATGCCATTAATAACCCAAAACTAGCCATCAGGATAAGTCAGAATGAGTCTGCGTGTCTACAAATGATAAATTTAAAGTTTGTCTCTTTTGATTGGTCAGGAAAGAGTCTTCACCTAGGTCCAAGAAGGGCTTTAAGTTCATGGTTCTTTATAACCTGATGGCTCTAACATCAGCTACAGAGACTCCCCATGTGTAGAGTGACCATATGACCTAGTTTACCTGGAACCATCCAAGTTCATGCCTGTTGTAATCATTATAAACATTCAGTGCTGATATATTCTAAGAAGTTCTGGTGTAAGTGGAATTTTTCAACTGCACAGTGCCTAGCATATAGTAACGACTTGACAGATATTAGCTCTAAAATGGTCTTTTTACTTTCAGCATTGCCAGTGCTAATTCTAGCTTACGATGCATTTGGAACATTGAATTTCTTACACCATAAATTTGACTGTAGGTTACTAGGAAAACATATGGCACAAACCTTCATTGCAAATGCATACAAATTAGAAACTAAAAGTCATAGATTTCTGTCAGTCACTAAAAAAAAATGTTTCTGAGCCATATAACTAGAGAATTGGCTTTAAGTGGGGAAAGTAACTCATGTGACATGTATATGTTTTTCTAGGGTTTCTGATTGACAGCTTAATAGTTTCCTTGTTTGGTTTTTCAATGCACTTCTGCCTCTGGCTACTGTTTACCTTGTTTGAATCTGATCTTTCCTATTATGATTCTATTACCCTAAGATGGGGGTACTATTGCTAAAGAATCTGAGGGTACAACATGCTTAGTACAGCTTCAGTAGAAGACCTTTAAGTCCGCCTGGTCAGGTTCTATCATGCTCTTGGCTACTGTCACTCTGACATTTCTGTTAATTCTCCTTGTTAAGTTTTCACACCTCTTACAATTTCTTCTGATTTTATTTTCATAACTCCATGTGTTTCTGTTAGCTAAACTTGACACCTCTCTTACCTTCTAAATATCTTCTTTCTCTGAAATCACGCTATAGTCAGTACTTCCCCTCAACAACCATCTCCAAAATACCTCCTAGGACTTTAGCTCTGTAGAAATAGTATCCATGACTTGTTCATTCTCTCAGGAACATCCAGAGAATGCATTCAGTTACTCAGAATAACTCGAATGCCTTGGAGATATGGTATTAATAGAATTCCATATTAGGCAAGTTGAGTTACACGATGTTTAAATCCAAGAATTTTTGGAAGGATAATTGGGCTTAGGAATATATGTATTCATTCTCTCCCTGTTCGTCTCCCACCATCTTCTCCTCCCCACACAGAATGTCAAGGAAGAATCTGCACCAAAGCAGTCTTGGAATCTATGAGGCCCGGCTCAGTGTTCATCTCATGTGTTCTAATTCCATTCCACTGCTCACTCAGTTGCTTAAGTCCCTCTCTCCTTTGTCTAACTAAATCTGAACTGTTTTTTAAGGAGGCTCAGTCAGAATAGTTCAAGATAAAACTCTGCAGCCCAGAATGTGCTGCCTGATTGCCTGGCAGAAGTCCTGCCAGGACAGGCAGCTACTTAGCCCTCGTGGACTCCTGGTCCACTCAGGAGACTTGTCCTCTATGGCTTCTGCACCTGCAAGAAATTTAGAGATGAGCAGAAAATGAGGCCAGCAGACACTCAGCCTGCCAGCCATGAGATGCTCAAACAAAAGACCAGGAAAAGTGACTCACACCCTCCTGCGCAGGCAGATTTTTCCCTAGTGTGTTTTGAAAGAGTTGGCTGGTTTCTAAGCTCCTTGCTGCCTTGTGCATCCTACACATTTTCCCATCTGGAGTCAGACAAATGTGAAGCACACATACACACACTGTGCACATGCCTATATGTGTGTGTAGTGATGGGCACGCATGGGCAGTGCTTACATTTCAAACAGCTGCTCTAATGACATGATTCGTGTCAAGTCATTAGCACCTGTTTTTCCAGTGCTGCAACCCACAGAAAAGATGCCACATTTCGTCTCCAAGGAGACTCCCAGGCCAGTTATCTTGGCAATGCATTCTCCCTGTCATCCAGTCTGATGCCTGGGGGTTGCCACAGACACTTCACAGACACTTATAGGAACCTGGACTGCTCATAGTTTCTCTATAAGTTTATTTCTAGTGATTCCAGAAATTGAGCATGCTTATTATTGTCTCTGACTATTTTAGTTTTGTGATGCTAGTCTAACAGCTAAGGGATAAAGAGACACTTTCAAATTGGAGCATTTAATAATTACTTTTCTTAACAGGGAATCAGGTGATTGGTCAAAAAGATTAGCCTGGGACTATAGCAAAAGCTATTCTTTTCAGAACTGATTTTTTAAAATGTGGTTTATCATTGTTGTGGTGGCCCTTCTGTGTTGCCCTCTCCAATCTGTTCATTCGTACAGCATCCAGAATGATCATTCTGAAATATGAATCTGGTCATGTCACTCTTCTACTTGCAGAATAAAGTCCAGACATCTTAGCACGGCCTACAAGAGCCTTTCTGGGCTGTCCCCTGCCCACCTCTCCAGCCCAGGTCCTGCTGGTGACATCCTCACATGCTGCGCTCCAGCCACAAACCACCCCATCTACCCCACACTTTGCACACACGCTCTCCCCAACACCAAAACGCACTAGAGGCTCCTACATGAACTTTAGGGCTCTACTGAGATACATTTCCTTTGGGACTTCTTTCTGGGTCTTTCTACGGAGGGTCAGATGCCACTCCTCTCTGCTCTCATAGGAACTTGTGTTAAATTATTCTTTTATGGCCACTTCCTGCACTGTGCTTTGTATACTTATCTCTCTAGACTCACAAAAATGAAGAATGTGCTGTTTACAGTCAGGAACTATGTTTTGTTCAAAAGTGTAGGGAAGCTTGTGGGTGTAAGGATACGGACATGGGAAGTTCATCCAGGGCCCAAGAGTGGCTAGTCATGTCTTGTCTTTCTTCCTCTTCCCTAGCCACCACTCTCCTCTTGGCAAAGGATAATTATTTCTGAGGAGACTCAGCTTTAACCCCTCTCTCCTTCCACCCTCAGAGGGTTTGGTAGAGTACAACCAAACAGGAGTGGAATTCCTTTTCCAAAATCATCGCATTACCTTGATCATTGTACAGTTCTCTCAACAAGGGAGATCTGTGAGTCAGCAAACGTTTTCTGTAAAGGGCCACACGCTTTCTCTGTGTCCTGTTCATTTTTGGTTTTGTTTTGTTTTACAACCCTTCAAAATGTAAAAATCTTTTTTAGTTCATAGGCCATGGCAGGATTTCTCCCTCGGGCTTTGGCTTTCCAACTGGCTTTAAAGGATAATGTCAGTTTTACGGAGCCATATCACCGAGGCATTTAACACAGCACTTAAGTGAGGGTCCCCAGCCCCTTCTTCCGATGCTTTGTCTGACAGCTGCTCAGTCTGGCCATTATGTGGATGTGACCTGGGCTTTGGCGGGGAGGGTGATCTGGTATTAACTTCCCTTCTTTCCTGTCTCCTTAAATTTTAAGTCTGCCTGTTACTGGTCTTGCCTTTTCCTTTTGCCTCCTTCTCCTGGAAATTATTTGAACTGTTAAGGGCATTAAGCTTCCTTTGGGCATATTTTCACTTTAAATCTGGAGAAAAGAGAGACAACCAAAATTATTTTTTAAAACAAGTTTTTCCTTTTACTGAACATTTTCATTCCACTCAGGATTTCTGAATGGTCTTAAAAATGTATTATGTACTTGTAGCAAATGTGTCTTTGGACATTAAATTCTTATCTAATTCTGGTGGGTTAGGCAGCAGACTTAGCCTGTGGTTCCATTGGTTGGAGCATCGTCACAGAGTTGGTTCCTACTCAGGGCGGAGGGATCTATTGCAAGCCTCTCTTCTTGGCTTGTAGACGGCCGCCTTCTTCCCATGTCTCTTCACATTATCCTGCCTCTGTATCCCTGTCTCCAAATTTCTCCTTTTTATAAGGACACCGGTCCCGTTAGGTCGGGACCCAGTCTAATGACCTCACTGTAACTCACTTGCCTTTACAAAGAACCTATCTCCAGAAAGGTCACATTCTGAGGCACTGGGGGTTAGGACATCAACATATGAATCCAGAGGAGGACACATTCAACCCATGACACCAACCCCTTCCCCCAACTGACATTTTTGTAATGCTTACCATTTTTCCAAGTGTTTCCCACACACCACCTCTAACCTTGCCTTGGCTTTGTGTGCCTGTGTGTTGGTTTTGTTCTGCAGCGACAGTCAGCAGCTGCAGCTGCTGTACCTGGAGTGCATCCTGTCCATGCTCAGCAGCTGCTCCTCCTCCATGCACCTGCACAAGGGCTTCACAGACCTGACCTGGTGAGCGCCCCCGCCCCCACACCAGCCCGAGGGCTTGCTCTTTCCAGCTGTGCCCGTGGGTCCCTTCCCACAGCCTCCGTGACCCGCCAGGCCTTTCGTCTGTGAAAATGTTCTCTCTGGGAAAGTAGGGATGTTGCTTTGCTTACATGCACCGGAGCGAAACTGATGATTCCTGCAGCAGAATAGGCCTCCGAGGCCCTCTTGCAGATGGTTTACATCATAGGATTGTGAGACTCAGAAATGAGGAAATTATTTTCTCGGTTATTCATTTGTTCTAAAAGCATATAAAAGCTCTGCAAAGTTATGCAGGGTGGCGGGGGAGGAGCAAGAAATACTGAACATTATTCTTAGTCCTTCCCTGGCACTTTTTCCACGTCAACCCAAATACTCGTCACTTAGTCATAGTCAGAGATTCACACAATTGACAGGGCCTGCAGGCAGCCAGCTCGTTGCTCTGGGTTCCTGGGCTTATCCACAGGGAGGAATATGAATGATATGTGTCAGAATTTTAAATAAACTTCTCAAAATAATTTTGTTACTTATAGGAAAAGGAAACTTTACGTCTGAGACATTTCACAGTTTTAATCTATATCTCTATGTAGGATGGTTTCTTGATGCTTCTCTTGATATTTTATTTAGTTAACCCTAGCTTGACTTATGAGAAAGAATATTTTATTTTTATACTCAGAAATGATGGCGGGACATAGAGAACTGAGGCAGGACTGAGCCCAAAAAAAGGAGCAATAAAGAACCCAACTCTATAGTCATTTGTGTGGCATTTGGTGTTTGCACTCAGGATAGTATTCACATTTAATCCTTTGGCTTGTAGTGAAACTCATTTTTCTCCCCATTTCTCTTCCCAGGAAAAACCTGTGCCCTGCTCTCATCGTGATCCTGGGGAATCCAATTCATGACAAAACCATCACCTCTGCTCACAGCAGCAGCACGAGTGCCAGCATGGAGTCAGACTCTGCATCTCCAGGCGTTTCTGACCATGGCCGGGGCTCAGGCTGTTCCTCCACCGCACCCGCGCTGAGCGGGCCTGTGGCTCGGACCATCTATTACATTGCAGCTGAGCTGGTCCGGCTGGTGGGGTCGGTGGACTCCATGAAGCCTGTGCTCCAGTCCCTCTATCACCGCATGCTGCTCTACCCCCCACCCCAGCACCGGGTGGAAGCCATCAAAGTGATGAAAGAGGTAGGATGCACCAAAGAATGCCACTATGCGTGCCAGGGACTGAGCACAGTATATTTAAGCAAGAAGCATTGGGAAATGTTTGCCAGTCACCTGCTAGGTAGGACTTCATTGCTACCAGTAACAGAGAGTCTATCCAGTAACAGATAGTCTCTTTAGGGTTGAGGGAGGTGTGTGTGTGGGTGTGCATGTGTGTGCATGTGAAGCAGGGGTCAGGAGGGGTGATAAGTGCTCACTGACACAAAGCCATTTGATAATCTGAGCTGCATGCATCTGATTGGGCCCTGGGCTGAGATTCTATTCTGCTCTCTTAGGGGCTGTTTGTGCAGATATGTGTATTTACTCATCTTTGCCAAAATTGGATTTCAAAATTTTATACTCAGTTTGTACATTATCCAAAAAAGGACATTACTTATCTCTGATTAGTAATAGGAAACCCTTTGCCCCATCACTTCTTAGGCCTTGTATCTCCCAAACATCATGATCCTGGTGAGAACATAAAGGTTGTCCAGTTTATACTAATCATCCCAGCACGCTTCTTCATGGTTTTGAGGAGAAATTGGGGTTATTTTAAAGGTACTTTAAAATAAGAATTCCTCTGCTTCCTATCAACTCACCAAAAAGAAAATTAATCAACTTTTTTGTATTTGCAAACTTGCTTGTGAAGGTCAAATTGCACTTCCTTTTGGTACCTAACACCAAAACAGCAGAGTAGCAAAATTTCCTTGTTGATGACTCATTTATTCTAAGCAATATTTGTTAATCATCATTTCTAAAAAGCTTAATTTGAAATGCTTCTTGGTGGAGTTTTAACGAGAGTTGACTGTAATGAATGATGGCAAGTTCTGACCCTGTGTTTCTAGAAATGAAAAAGTGAGCCAGAAAACTGGTTAAGAAAATCAATGCACACACAATGATAACCACATCTTTTTCTTACCTACTATATGTCAGGAACTTCACATACATTAGCTTTTACTATTCATGATAACTTTGAAGTGTTGAAGGTCATTGCTTCAGGCAAGGAGATAAAAGGGTCAGCTTTAATAACCAGCCTTTACTAGGTTGGTGAATAGGATACAGTTTGGGAGGCTAGACTACTTCGTCACCACCCAAACAGCAGTGGCCCTCATTTGCAGATCCAACCCTGCCCATTAAGCTGGTAATGTGGGCAGTAGAAGTGGACATTTTCTGAATAGGCAGGTCTTCAAGAAAAGCCACACATGCTCAGCTCCTCCTGAATTCACCACTGGTAAGAAGTGAGAGAAAGAGAAAAAGAGAGAAGAAGAGAGGCCCAGAATTTTATTCCACTGGATGTTCCTCCCATAGAAACATGAAGTCAAGAAAAAGGATTTTCTCTTCTACAAAGAAACTAAGTCTCCAAATGGTCAAATGATTTGCTCAAGGTCACCAAGAGAGAGAAATGGTGCAAATGCTGGTCTAGCTGAGCCTAAACCTATGATCATTTCCTATACCACACTTACTATTGGACTTAACTTTGATATTGCAATGCAAATTATTCTAGGAGCTCCTTTGCTGGAGCTGGCTCAGTGACCCTCTCATAATCCTACGTTTGAAAGTTAGAGTTTAAATCCTCTCTGCCACTCACCAGCCACATTATAGTAGCTAAATCATTTAACTCTGAACTTAAAAATTTTCATCTGTACATAGCAGTAATATTCCAAAGGGTGTGAGTTCAAAATGTGGTCAAGTTTGTATAAGTACGTTGTAAGCATAAAATGCTAAACAAATATCTGGTGCACTTATTGCGACCTAAAGAAGAGCAAAACAAAGCATGAAGAATGGAAATACTAGTCCTCATTACCTTCTGCCCAGAGTAGTGTACTTTGTCTCCTGCTTGCCTTTAATTTGTCTTTCTGAACTTAGGTTCAAAATCACCACTGTTGACAATTTTCCCCACTCTCAAATAACTCCTTGTCATCTCTCAAGTCTGAATTGCTCTGCCAAATTTCTAGACTGTTCTGTTTTCATTCTCATTTCCCATCTTTCTCCAGGAGCACCCTTATTCCATCTGACAGACCCTGTTCTGCTCAATTCCCACCTTCCTGCCTCTATTTGGTCTCCCCCTGGTCCTATTGGCCACTGTCACTGCTGGTTCCTCACATTGGGTTACTTACAGTCTCCCTTAGGAAGGTGATATGCCCATTTTCCAGATGGAGAATTGAGGCTCCATTGCTATTTGCACCAGTTCCTCATGTGTTGTAGACTTAAAACATGAACCCAGGTGTTCTAAATACAGCTGCCTCTTCACTGTCAAAATCTCCTCCTCTATGGCTTTGCTTCCTCAAACCACTGATTTTGCTCTGCTTACACCCCATCCCACCACTTACAATTGATTATATGTGGCAGTATACTGATTGTTTCGCAGTTCAGTGTGGAACAAACTTCTCGTCTCCTAAATATATTTTCGTATGTATTGCTTTTGTATGTTTCCCCTAGCACCTGACACTATAGCAATTGAATCAGAATAAGCGTTTAATATATTTTGACTATGACAGATGGGCCTGAAAACAGACCATATGCAAAGAGGGTATTTTGTGAGCAGCAGCAACCTCGGAGTTGACAGGCCCTGGAGTTGTTATTACCCGTGGTAGAGCCACTTGATACCTGAATGCTAAAAATACTCTGCCAAAGGGTATGTAGGTGTCTAAATGCATTTAAAATAACGTCTTGAGTACCACAAAGGAAATTAGTTATGTTTCCCCCTTTTTCATAGATGTTCTAGTTTCCCAAGGTCATTTTGCAGGGCTAGCACAGCATTAGAGCCCAGCATCTGGGCAGCACAGCGTGTCCAGGCAATGCTGCCCCATGGGCACAGCAGGCTGACGTGGGCCAGGTTGCTCTGTAAAGCAGTGCCTGCACTTACTATGACAGCACCAACAATTGGGGAAGGCTGGTAACCTAGAAACCAAAACGTGCTGGGTTTATGCACACAAAACCACTGGGCACCCAGGATGTTTGCTTAGCCTTTTGGAGTTTGAACCTTGGGGTGTTATTTCCTGGTCTCTTCGTAATTTACCGCTCTGCCATATGCCCCCTGTACATATCCATCAAAAACATGCAGGACAGTTTGTTTTTCCAAGTATATTGTCTTTTCTGTGTCCACTTCCCCTCCCAAAAGTACATCTTGCTTCCTTCTCTCTCTCCCATGGTTCAGCTTTATTAGTTCCCTAATCTTTATCAGACCTGTGGCACCCAACCACTGATTTCATAGTTCTCATTCCCATCTGAAGAAGCTGACATTAGACATACTGAGGGTTCTTCAGAGGCCTAATTATTCAGCCTCCTTTTCCTTTAGTTTTGGAACAACTGAGTAATAAATATAAGATTAATGTGGGAATTAATATATGTAATCTAATTTATCACTGATAAATCTAGATTAAAGAATCTAATGGATCCCAAGAGAAAGAGATGTTTCCCACTCCATTGCTCCTGAAATGACTTATCCTTCTAGCAAGAAATGGGGCAGTTAGAGGCCCATATGCCTAACCACTTCACTTGAATGCGGGCCTAGTTTTGTGTGTGTGTGTGTGTGTGTGTGTGTGTGTGTGTGTGTGTGTGTTGGGGAAGATTTCAATCTCAAAGAAATAGAATGTGGAGGAAAAAAGTGGAAGTTTCATTTCTGTGCTTCCAAGAGAGCAGAAGCTCCCAATTTCTAGGATAAAAAAGATAGGGAGACAGGGAAAGAGGAATGTCACTTAGGATGTAACATTTTCTACTTAATATACCAGGAATACAAATATAATCCACTTGAAAATAACAGACATGGAATAAGTTGTCTGTTCCAATACACTTAATTAACCAGCCTTTTCTTGAATTAATTTAGCCTCAAATTGAAATACCATAGACTTCTACCATATGGAAATAAAATTAATATTGAACAATTATGAAAATTCTATACACAAAAAATTTTAGGGTGCAGCCAAAGCAGTGCACAGAAGGATATTTATAGCTTCAATTGTTTATATTAAAAAACAGCTGAAACTTTGTGTTCTAATTTTCGAACTTAGGTAGTTAGGAGAAAATCAGATTAAATTAAAAGAAAGCAGAAAGGAGTGAAAATAATGATAAAAGAGGAAAGTAATGTGATAAATAGGAACCATAATATAGTAAAAACTCCTGGAAAAAGCAGTAAAAAGAAATTCCAGAATCATTAAAAACAAACAAAAATAAGACTGAAAAAATGCTCATAAACTATAGATGTTGTAAACATTAAAGAAGGTATTAAGACACCTTAGGACACTACATTTGATAACTTAGATAAAATTGGTAAGTTTCTAAGAAACAACTCAATCTTTGAAAATTTGGCTCCTGCCCTAGCTGGATTGGCTCAGTGGATAGAGTGTCCACCTACGGTCTGAAGAGTCTCGGGTTCAATTCCAGTCAAAGACACATGCCTGGGTTGTGGGCCTGTTCCCCAGCAGGGCGTGCACAGAAGGCAGCCAACAAATGATTCTCTCTCATCTGTTTCTATCTCTCTCCCTCTTTGAAATATATATTAGAGGCCTGGTGCACAAAATTCATGCACTTGGGAGGGGGTCAGCCTGCCCTGGACCCTCTCACAGCCCGGGAGCACTGAGGGGTGTCCTACTGACAGTTTAAGCCTACTTCCCACATCTTTAGCACTGCTGCAGAGGCAAGAGAGGATCCTGCCAACACCGTGATGTTCACTATGGCTCATGGCTTCTGGATGAGCAGCGCTCCCTCTGTCGGAGTGCCCTGACCATCAAGGGACAGCTCCTAATTTGAGCGTAGGCCCCCAGGTAGTTATAATGAGAGGTTGAGTGGTCTTACCATGTCATTAGCATATTACTCCTTGATTGGTTGAATGGCTGACTGAATGACCGGACACTTAGCATATTAGGTTTTTATTATATAAGATACAGATATAGATATATTTTTAAAATGTTGGCACATGAAGAAATTGAGGACCTAAATAGTCCTATTATCTTTAAAATAGTTAAATCAATAGTAAAAGTTCCATTTAGAAAAAAATTACTGGCTGCATAAAGCTTTGGAAACATTCAAGGAACAGATAATTCTAATACATGGACTTTTCCAAAAGAGTAGGGAGATATGGAGTACTCAACCCAGCTTTTAAAGCTCGCCAACATGACAGCAAAATAAGACCAACAGAGAATAGGACAGTTGAATTACAGGCCAATCTCTCTAACGAATATTGATGTAAGTGCTTTCTAATTCTGTGCTGTAAACAAATTGAAACAACCCTTAAGCATTTTCTTGGTCTAAGCCAGTTCTGAAATGAGGAGCTGGAAATCCATGTGCACTCTACGTTAAGAACACCCAAATCACTTCTAAGATTTGACTTCCAAATAGTGGTGCCTCTCCTCAGGCTGTTTCACTCAGTAGAGAAAGTGCATGTGCATTTGATCTCACAGTTTTAAAAATTTTTTCTATGTTATTCACGTTTTTATTATTCTATCCCCCCCTTTTTTTTAATTCTAGCTACTTGGGAGCCCACAGCGTCTCTGTGATTTGGCAGGACCCAGCTCCACTGAATCCGAATCCAGAAAAAGATCAATTTCAAAAAGAAAGTCTCATCTGGATCTTCTCAAACTGTATGACACATTCTCCTTTTTAGGTCTCTATTGCTTGGCAAAGACTGCTTCTCTGACTACTCTTGACCTTGTTTTGAAATCCCTGAAATTTTATGATTCTATACTATATGAAGTGTGACTATTTAATAACATACCCACAGACCATATGAGAACTCTTATCCTAATTTATCATAACTGTATAACTTTCCATAATTTTATATTTACTTAACCCAGTATACAAAATGAAATGTACAAACATATTTATTGGGGTTATTTTAGGGAAAATCTTTTTCAATTAATTACAGTGACTATAGGATTTCTCCTTGAGGATTCCTTTGAGCTAGAGATGATTTCCTTTTCCCCCTACAAAATGAAAAAGTATCTGATTTGTAATAGCTATATTTACCATGTATCTGCTCAGGAATATGTTTACTTCAGAAGACATGCACACTATCATAATCATAGCCATTATAACCATTTTCTGCTTGAAAACAGAACCTCATACAATAGTGAGGTTATTCATTATCTGTCACCATGAAACTGACAAATTCCCACCTGGAATTTTGCTCATGCCCAAGTAAACCAAACACCTTGAGAGCGAGATTCAAGGTGGGCTGCTTTACCTTGAGGTTTTCCGCTGCCATCTTGAGCATGTTTGTATTAGTTACTTTATGTCCAGACCATTTAATTTCGGGTAAATTAGAGCACATGCTTTGAATACTATACTGTTCACTGGTCAAACAGTCCTTGTTCATTTTGGAGCATTTTTCCATGCTTCACGTAATGATCCCACTTTCTCCTTTGAATGCTTTTAGCATCATGGATGGCATGACCGAAGCTTGCATCAAGGGTGGCATCGAAGCTTGCTATGCCGCTGTGTCCTGCGTCTGCACCTTACTCGGGGCCCTCGACGAGCTCAGCCAGGGAAAGGGCCTGAGTGAAGGTCAGGTCCAGCTGCTGCTCCAGCGCCTGGAGGAGCTGAAGGACGGGGCTGAGTCAAGCAGGGACTCCATGGAGATCAACGAGGCCGACTTCCGCTGGCAGCGGCGAGTCCTGTCCTCGGAACACACGCCGTGGGAGTCAGGGAATGAGAGGAGCCCCGACATCAGCATCAGTGTGACCACGGACACGGGCCAGACCACTTTGGAGGGAGAGTTGGGTCAGACCACACCTGAGGACCACTCCGAAAACCGCAAGAACAGCCTCAAGTCCCCAGCTGTCCAGGAGAGCAAGGAGGCGCTGAGCAAAGTGTCAGAACCAGAAGCGGTAGACCAGCCGGACGTTGTTCAGAGAAGCCACATGGTTGCTTACCCTGACATCACGAACTTCCTGTCCGTGGACTGCAGGATGAGGTCCTACGGATCTAGATACAGCGAGAGCAATTTTAGCGTGGATGACCAGGATCTCTCCAGGACGGAGTTTGACTCCTGCGACCAGTACTCGATGGCCGCGGAAAAGGACTCGGGGAGGTCTGACGTGTCGGACATCGGGTCGGACAACTGCTCGCTGGCCGATGAGGAGCAGACCCCGCGGGACTGCCTGGGCCACAGGTCCCTGCGGACTGCTGCTCTGTCCCTCAAACTGTTGAAGAACCAGGAGGCCGACCAGCACAGCGCCAGGCTGTTTGTGCAGTCTCTTGAGGGCCTCCTTCCTCGCCTCCTGGCCCTGCCCAGCGTGGAGGAGGTGGACTCGGCCCTCCAGAACTTTGCCTCTACCTTCTGCTCAGGTTGGTAAGCAATGTTCGCTATGTAGTCACCAGGAACACATTCTAGCCCCTGTCCCTTTTCGGGGGGATGGGGGAGTGGGTGGAACTGAAAATCCCAAGCTTCTGATCATGCCTTGGTCTTTATGGTGGCCGGGAACCCACCCAGAGTCACCTCATTAAACAAAAGATGCTCTTGGTTCTCTTATCACTTAGAAATTTACAAGGCTTTTAGGAGCCCTGTGGCAGGGAGGGGATCAACGACAAGTATTAGAATAAGGGATGCTCCTGGTATTCTTCTCACTTAGGAAATACAAGGGTTTAGGAGCTCTGTGCCAAGAAGTGCAGGAAAGTCCAATGTATATATATTTTTTATTATCTCAGTAGTACGGAAAGAAAGCAGTTAATGGGCATAAAAATTTCTTGGCAGAAATAAAGGATTGTCTGAGCCCAGGGTGGTCAACTGTACCTCTCCCTAAAATTCAAGGGTCCCTTGACTGTAGAATACTGAGGTGAAGCCAGAGCAAATCTTTACATTTGTGTTGCAGGGTTAGGGAATAAATAGTCTTAACAAAATTTTCATCCAACACGCTGGCATTTGTGGAATATGAAGTTTGGAGAATATGATAATTTAAAGATGAACTAAAAATCAAAAAATACACATCCAGAGATTATCTATAAAATACATTGGTGTCCTTTCTTAGAGTCATTTTCCAGCATTGATGTGTATCTGCAATAAGAATAGCTCACACTAACATAGCATTTCCTGAATGCATGGTGTTAAGAGTATTACATTACATGTCTTAATCAATGTAATGCTTATAATAGCTCCAGAGGGTAGGTTGTAGCATCCTCATTTTACAGATGAGAAAACTGAGGCAGAGGGAGGTTAAGTGGTAAGTTACCCAGGGTACATAGCTGTGAAGTGGGGATACCAGGATATCAACAGTCTGGTTCCAGAGACCATGCTCTTATTCATCACATGTATCACACCAAGAAGTGTGAGTGGATGGAGGGGTGGATGAATAGCTGGGTAAATCAGAGATGCTGTTTAAGAACACAAAAATCTCTGCAATTGATTTGTGCTGGTGAAAAATCAATCACAGACTGAAAAACTGTAGCTCAGCCAATATGAGATGGTTTTCCAAGACCTGACAGATGGGTACACATGGAAGCCAGCATGTCATTGACCCCTGGGAATCTACACTAAGGAAACAAACTCCAGTAGAGACTGGTATACCAAAATGTATATGATAGTATCATTTCACAGCAAAAATTTTAGGAATAATCTAAAAGCTCCCAAATAAGGGAAAAATTAAATGAATACATTCATTTATATTATGTAGCCATTAAAAATTATGTTTTCAAATAATATTTAATGATATGGATAATGCTCATAATATAATTTTTTAAAGAATTCAAAATTAACATCAAAATGTTAATTTTTTATCTCTGTTCTTCTTTGTATTTTTTTTCAAAAAAAACTTAAAAATTTTTTCTTATTACTTTTATTATCAGAAAATTAGAATCATAGACTTAAAGAAATCTGTTGTCAAGAAAATCATATAATGTGATTACAAAGGTTAAAAAAATTGATGCTTCTCAGTATGTTGAGTGGGTAGAAGAATATTCTTATGCATAGTGGGTAGGAGAAAAGATTGGTATAAAACTATTTGGGAGATATGTTGCCCATATCTATCAATATATGCCTTATTCTGTTCTTAGGAATTTATCCCACAGATACCCTTGCAGAAATACTAAAAGTTATTTCATCCTTTCAGCCCTTTTCATAAAGAACATCTTAATGACAGAGTAAGAGAATGAACTTTCTAGAACACTGGAAAAACAATAGCCAGAATAAGCTGAAGGTTGTAGTTTCTATAATTTGCCACCCCAAATTTGAGGACTACTATTTCTTTTAGAAAAGTGTATAATTATGAGTTACTGCACTAAGCATCCTCCATGCATTATTGCATCTAGTTCTCATAGCAAACTTGTTCTTTCACTCATTATTCATTCATTCAATGAATATTTTTGAGGCTCTCTATATGCCAGGCACTGTTCTAGGCACTGGAGATTCATTCTCTAGTGAACAAAACTAACGAAGTTCCACCCTCTTGCAGATCTTACATAACAGTAGATAACAATAGTGGTGGCAGACAATAAACAAATTATATATTAATATAATGCTGGGTAGAATAAATGCCATTGAGGCATTGAAAAAAATTCTGGGCGAGGAGGAAGACTATTGCAGGGATAAGTAGGTGGAGGAGTGTTATTATAGATGGGGTGAAAGGGAAGGTCGCTGAAATCTGAAAAAATTGAGGGAGCAAGTCATCTAGAGATGTGGGGAGTCCACTCTGGGAGGCGAGGAAAACCTACGCAAAGGCCCTGTGGCCGGCACAGGCTCAGTGAGGTCAAGGAACACAGGTCAGCGTGGCTGTAGTTAGAAGAAGGAGAGGGGAGAGGGAAGTTGGGTTTTATTTTATTGTGATGGGAAGCCATTGAAGGCTTTGCGCAAGAGCTACACGCAGTCAAATACTCTGCCCATTTCTGGGCAAAAAGTTGAGATTTAAAGGGTCTTAGTGATTTTACCAAAGTAGCTGGTGAGGAGCACATAAAGATTTGCCCAGGTAGATGGACTCCAGACTGTATGCTCTGCCCCACCAGGCTGGGGCATGTAATGTTCCCAGAAATATGCCTTGCTGGGTGTCATTGTTTTACAGATAGGTCCTGTACATGTGCCTGTCGCTAGGATTGCTTCCTGGCTGGCGGTAAGCAAGGCTTGCAAGTGCACTGCTTGCAGCCCCTAAGGTCCCGGGGTCCTCTCCCTCAGGCATGATGCACTCCCCCGGGTTTGACGGGAACAGCAGCCTCAGCCTGCAGATGCTGATGAACGCGGACAGCCTGTACACGGCAGCGCACTGCGCTCTGCTCCTCAACCTGAAGCTCTCCCACGGTGACTACTACCGGAAGCGGCCAGCCCTGGCGCCTGGCATGATGGTGAGTGTGCGCTGTCCACCCTGACCCTGCGAGGACAAGCAGTGGCCTCTGGGCTGGACTGCCGAGCGTCAGTGCCCTGTGAGGCATGGCGCTGTGGAGGGCAGAAAAAGAGGTGAAGGTCTGTGCAGTGCAGTGAGCGCAGACTCACCCCCTTGCTTCGGAGAGTGCAGGACCCCAAGTGTCTGGAAACCGCTGTCTGTTTAATTTCATCTTGAAATTAACAGTGGCCCAGTAGCTTCATCTGGTGGCACTATTCAACACACACATGACATGTTCCAAAACTAAGGTGATCAGACATTCCGCTTTTGGCTGGACAGTCCCAATTTTTAACAATTTGTCCCTGTCCCGCGGCGCTTTAAAAAAGTCCCGATATTTGGAAAGAAAACGGGACGTCTGGTCACCTTATCCAAAACACACAATCAGCAGGTTAAGTACTTAGCAGCAGAAGATGTGCAGGGAATGGTCCCCTTTGCTGAAAATGAAGGTGTCCTTTTACAAAAACTTTTCATTGTCTTCCAAAATGTGCCTAAACCTCCTCAGGTGATCCGGAGCTAAGTTTACTCATTGTCAACAACAAAGCTCCTCCTGTGGGCATGGGGGAGAAGGATGGTGCTTATCCTGTGGTGGGATCTCCTGCCCCAGCAAGCCACTCTGTGTCTGTGGTGTACCCTAATGGCAGTTCCTAAGCCTAATCCATGGAGCTGTGTGGACAGTATCAGCAGTCATTTGCTTGATTAAGGGTAGGTTCCCAAGGATCAGTAGTGGCTTCATGGGTGTAAGTATCTCTTGAAACACCCATGAATTTTCAGAGGGCTCATTCCAGCTCAGTTTGGGCAGCAAGAAGCAGCACTGCTCTGTGCAGTTTCTCATCATCCCACACATCAGAGAGTGAAAAATACAAAATGCGGTGTTCCTAATCCTTCAACAGGGCTTCTTACAAAGATACAAATGAAAGGAACCTTGTGAAGTTTGGGACGTCACCATCTCCTACCTTCAATCAACATGGTCTTATTTTTCCTACAAGCGTTGGTTCAGGGGACCGGGGAAGGGAAGAGACAGCGGAGGAGCCTGTTTGCTTGCAGGGGGTCCGATTTGGTCATTTTTCTCCTGTGATGGTCTCTGTAGAAAGAGTTCATGAAGCAGGTTCAGACCAGCGGGGTGCTGATGATCTTCTCCCAGGCCTGGATCGAGGAGCTCTACCATCAGGTGCTCGACAGAAACATGCTGGGAGAGGCCGGCTATTGGGGCAGCCCCGAGGACAACAGCCTCCCGCTCATCACCATGCTGACCGGTCAGTGGCCCCTCACACAGCTCCGTGCCCCCCGGGTGGGAGGCCTCACCCTTCAAATCCCCTTTCAGAGCAGTAACGGTGTTCGGTTCCATCAGACCTTAAAATGGCACCCACAAGACTGCCCGGGCAGAGGGTGACAATTTGAGAGAAGGCTCATGAATTCACCTCGCAAGTGTGTACTGTCCTTTTTCCACATGGGACTCTGTGGAGCTCACTGTGCCTCGCTAGATATGGACCTTACTTAGCACCCATGCGTATTGGTGAGAAACCTTAGGCCTCTTCTGGGATATGAAGTACTTTCTGGGCACAAAGCCCAGGATTATTCCTGGAAATTCTCATGTACTAGTGGAGACAATTATCTGTATTATGCTGTATCCTTCAGTGCTCCTGGAAATTTGCCAATAATGTAAAATGATTGATTTTAAACTTGGCTTCATTCCCATTTCTTATCCATATCAGAGGCCCTCTTCTCTTTTCCCAATGGTACCAGAATTAAAAATAATATAAAGTAGCCTGGCCAGAGTGGCTCAGTTGTTGAAGCATGGTCTTGTGCACCAAAAGGTTGTGGGCTTGATCCCCAGTTGGGGCGGGGTACATATGGGAGGCAACTGATTGATGTTTCTCTCACATAGATGTTTCTCTCTTTCTCCCTTCCTCTCGCTCTAAAGTCAGTAAGACATATCTTTGGGTGAGGATTTAAAAAATGTAATGTCAAGTAGTTGCCCAGCAACTTTGTCTTCAGTGTCCAGAGTTTTTAAAACCCTTCTTAACTATCAAAAATTTCACATGAGAGCATTGTAGAGTATGGTCATAAAGACATTTTTTGGCAAAAGCAACCATTCATGTCATTGCATGGCTTAACCATTATGTCAGGTATAGGTCAGGGAGGGCTCAAAAGTTTGGTCTAGTCATTAGTAGCCTTGATAAATTAGTTCTCCAGGCTTGTCCTATATTTGACCTGAGTTGCCAAACTGGTTTCTGAGCTGAGCGATGCCGTCCTAGCTCCAGCTGATAGGTTATGTAGAGTTTGGACCCACATAGACACCTTTCTGTACTGTCTGTAGTACCACATGTCCTCACACAGCTTCCCGTGGTTCTGCTCTGGGTAGGGCACACTGACAGACCGGGCTGGGCAGCACAGTCCAGCTAGGAGGCAGGATCTGTTGTCTAAAGGCTGTGTTATGTTGCCTGTGGTTGGTATTGGAAGTTCTGACAAAGGTGGTGGAGCTGTGAAATGACAGGTGAAATGCAGCAATGAGATCTGGGGGCTCTTTAGGAATTAGGGAATCAAAGCATAGAGTGAGGTCTCTCTGCATCAAGCAGAGTCCCGGTCATTGTCTGGTATTTGGAACTTTGATCCCAGAACTAGGATGGAATTTGGAGGAAGCAAGTCTAGGTCCTAAGCCATGAGACTCAGGATCACTGGAGCCATTTATGTTTTATTAATCATGATAACATTTACATCCATTTGAAAAATACAAACTCTTCAATATGTGAGACATTTATTCATTCCTCCCATAAGTAGTCCTTGGTTTCCATCTGCTTCATAAACTCCCTTCAGTGGGGATTAAAGGTACTTCCCAGAGCTTAGAAATTCCTTGGAATTTGGGTGGGGATCCTAAGCCTGCCAGGTTTAATTTTAAAAGATCATAGTTGCTGCCAAAGTTAATCTCCTACCTGAACTTTAATAAAAGGAGTCATTCAGCAGATGTAGAAATGAACACATAACAAGCTATTCATAGTCACCATATTCATCAGTCATCACTGTTACCCAGCCACCTCTTTTATAATAGAACAGTAAGCTTAATTGCTATATCCATAGGAAAGTTATCTTAGATTAATGATAGAAAAGCACTTTCCATAAGATGTAGACAAAATTAGGCTGTGTGACTTTTTGTAGAAAATTCCAATTATGAAATGACAAGTGAATTCAGCAATTAACCTAGAGTTTGGTTACTGTAGCAGCCATCTGATTATCAACACTGTCCTAACTGTGGCCATTCCTGAAGTCATGTCCAAGTGTCCTACATAACTGTGGAATCTTGGTGAGCAGATCAACTTGGTGTTACTTGAATTCATCAGTCTTTTACCTAGCACACTGGAAACATGATAACTTTGATAAATGGCCATTTCTGGTGAATATCATTAGACTGACCACATGACATTTTAATTTCATGAAACTGATGTGTTCTCACTTTGGTTGTAATGTAGATTTTTCCCTGCCTTCCTCCCCTGATTTTATTGAGATATCATTGACATAGGATACTGGGTTATTTCAAGATGTATACGTAATGATTTGATATATGTGTATATTGTATAGTGATCACCATAATAAATTTAGTCATCAGTCACCTCAGGCAGTTACAATTTTTTTTCTTGTGATGAGAACTTTTAAGATCTACCTACCCTCTTAGCAACTTCCAAAGAGATTTGTTGCCAGAAGTCTGTAGGCTTCTTGGAGTCACTGTAAGACTCAAAAATACAAACACCATCCTGTTGGAATCTTGGTGAGCAGATCAACTTGGTGTTACTTGAATTCATCAGTCTTTTACCTAGCACTGAAGTAAAAGACTGAATTCATCAGTCTTTTACCTAAGAGTCTTTTACCTCTTATTTCAGGAGAAGTCCTGAAATAAACCTATGCTACTCTCTTTTCCATTGCGTTCTACTGTGTTGGTTGCATTCAAGTACATATGCTTCCACTCCACGGTCACTTCCTTGGTGCTTACTTCCTAATTACTGAGGAACTTGGGGCCCTGAGAACAGAGTACCTGACTCCAGGCTACCAGGCTAACTTAATTCAGAGCCAAGGTTGAAGCCCAGCATTCTCAACCACAAGCCAGTTTCTTCTTGCCAACATGTTAGGGATTGGTGCGTTGAGCTAATTTTATAGATGTGAGTTTAACAAAAATTTAAACAAGGTGCATTAGGATCCCATATTGAGCTGGAGTTTGGTGTCATGGAAAGAGGCCTAGATGGGAGTCAGAAGATATGACTACTGAACCTAAATCCTTCCTTGACCAGCCTCCTGGCTTGGGCAATTTATCTACTTCAAGTATTTTATTTCCTCCTCTTTGACATAGAAAAAGCAATGCCTACTCTGCCCATATACCTGAAGTTGTTGGGAAAATCTAATGAAAAAAATGTTGCGTCCTCACACATTGAAAATTGTAAAGTATTATTATTGTTAATATATTATTATAGTACTAAGAAATCAGGTTATACAATCATTTCACCAAAGAGGTTTATTTTATTCTTCAGGTTTATGAGGAAGCTCTGAAAGACAAATCTATGTTGAGGTATCATGTATATATAAAACTTGGGTATAATACCAATGTTTTGAATATTGGTATTCAAAGATCATACTATTCTAAAAAAGAAATAGCAGTCTATCTTTTTTTTTTTTCAATTAAAAAAAATATACAGCATTCTAAAGAATGCTCTGGCAATGAAAGAAAACTATACTGAATGAAACAAAAATTTTTAATATTTTGATAAAAGGTTGCTACATAACAGATCCAAGGGATGTTTATTGGGGGGGCGGGGAACTAAGTACTGTGGTGGCTGCTTGTTTTTGACTGAACTGTGCTGTTCAAGGAAAACGTTGCTGTTTTTCCTTGGCAGATATCGACGGCTTAGAGAGCAGCGCGATTGGGGGCCAGCTGATGGCCTCCGCGTCTACAGAGTCTCCCTTCACCCAGAGCAGGAGGATCGATGACTCCACAGTGGCAGGTAGGGGCCGTGAATTTATGAATATACATACAGCACATGTGGCACTAGCAGTTAAACCATTATAGGCAGTTTCCAGTGCTGACATAAATGAATAAAGGTTTTGTCTTTGCAGAACAAGTGCCTGGTGGAAGTTACTTAGCATCATCCAGCTGACGATGGAGCATTCATTATTTATAAGCACAAAGTACAATCCACTAAACCCTATTTCCTATAGTAGAATCGCACGCAGCTCAGCACTGCGATCTTGATGGTCAAAGAATCCCATGCTGTCATTCATTGCCAGGTTGTTTTTGTCTCCAATACATGACCCATTCCCCTTCACATTCTAGGTGTGGCATTTGCTCGCTACATTCTGGTTGGCTGCTGGAAGAACCTGATCGATACTTTATCGACCCCCCTGACTGGCCGCATGGCGGGGAGCTCCAAAGGGCTGGCCTTCATTCTAGGAGCGGAAGGCATCAAAGAGCAGAACCGGAAGGAACGCGATGCCATCTGCATGAGCCTGGATGGGCTGCGGAAGGCGGCGCGGCTGAGCTGTGCTTTAGGTATTGGCGGGAGGAGAATTTGTGGCCCACGGCCTGAGGGGTGTACCTGCAGAACACACTGGGAAAGGCCTAGTGGGAGACAGGTCTCTTAGGGGAGTTCTGCCAGGTGGATGGCTAGAGAACAGACTCAGTTAAGGGGTAACTTGTTTGTTTCCTCTAAAGGAGTTGCAGCTAACTGCGCCTCAGCCCTTGCCCAGATGGCAGCTGCCTCCTGTGTCCAGGAAGAGAAAGAGGACAAGGAAGTCCAAGAACCCAGTGATGCCATAGCACAAGGTAACAGCTGACAGGCCAGAGTCCACCTGGTGTCTTATGTGCGGTGTGCATACACATGCACCTGCAAGAGCAGGCACTCGTGTCCATTCTTTGTGTGATACATAGGTTCACCACTAATCATGAGATCCCACTAGGTTGTAGGCTTGGGTCTGTTTTATGGGGATGATCTAACAGACTTCTTACAGCAGAGGTGGGTATAAAGCCCACGAAATCCTTTGGTCTGGCCAAAGGGGTGAGTTAATTAAATGTTTGATCAAATATACCAGGCTAATTTTTAAGCTGGTAATTTTGTATAGCCCATGAATGATGTTATAAATATCCAAATGGCCCCTGGCATAAAATAGGTTCCCTACCCCTGGCTTACAGAGATCCCTCTGAATACCAAAGACATAATGGCCTCTGGCAATCAGGAAAATTCACTTGGCTGCTCACAGGTGTTGTATAGGACACCAGAGGTCCACCAGCTAAACTCATGAAACCTCCATCATCAGCTGGCCACTGGCTGTGGCACTTCACAGAGTATACATTTGAGGATATTGTAGGTTACAGCACAGAAGGCGGAATGACCAGTTTTCTGAAGGGGGATATCAAACAGATGGAGGAACTTTCTGAGGGGAGGCACAGGAAGACTGCTCTTTTGAGAAAAACTTGAGCTTTGTGAACTCAGAATAGAGTTGTTTTTTATTTAATCAGTTAATGAAGTGGGTGATTATCTAAATACTAGTGGCCGGATGCATGAATTTATGCACCAGTGGGTCCCTTGGCCTGGCCTACAGGATGGGCTGAAACCAGCTCTCCGATATTCTTTGAGCGGTCACGGATTGTGAGAGGGTGCTGGCCAGGCCGAGGGGCCGCACCAATGCACAATCGGGCCCTGGGAGGGCTCCAGGGCATGTCCAGCCCATCTCTCTCAGTTCTGATCAACCAGAGCCCAGCAGCAAACTAACCTACCGGTCAGAGAGTCTGCCCCCTGGTAGTCAGTGCACATCATAGCAAGCAGTTGAGTGACCTTAGCATATCATTAGCATATTACTCTTTGATTGGTTGAACAGAAGATCAGATGACCGGACACTTAGCATATTAGGCTTTTATTATATAGGATAAGGAAAGAGGATGGCCTTCCTAATGAAAAAGATAAATGGCAAACAGCCAACAGAAGGAAAATGGGAAGCTTGGTTCAATGTATGCAAATGCTATATATCAGGTATATAAAATAAGCTAGTGACAGGAACATTGGGCACATTTTTAAAAGCTAGAAAAATAGGCTGGCACTCTTCCTCAAACTTGAACGTTATATATAGATCATATGAAAGCAAAGCAGTGCTCACAGATCCCAGTATTAACTGAAAAAGGGTACCACAATTGTACTTAATATGTACAACCATAAATTATATAAAAATCCTTACATTTAAAGCCTTACAACTATAAAATGAAAACTAATATTAAAATTATATACAAATAAAAAAATCAATATCAGATCCATGTGACAAATGATGCTTTGCTGAAATTCAATTTGCTCTTTGCAACAGGAATACTGTTTGACCTCCTCTGACGTGAGCATGCTGTATTTCTGGGTTCTGGCTCATCACTCATTGTCCCACCAGGGCTGTCTTCCAACAATTTGACACCCTTATTCATGGAGAGCGTCATCATTTGACCTTGTCTTTGCATTTTGCATAATTGACTTCTAAGTAGTCACCTTCTGCATCCTTTCTCATTAATGTTCTACAATTAAAAAATTATTACTTGAAGGTCACAAATATAAATGTAAACTCAGGGAATGAAATGCTATGGTAATTTCCAGTTATAAAGCAGTCATCGTGATATTCAGAGCAGAACACATAGGTTGTTTTTGGTGATCATCATGAAGGCATAGCATTAAATCTCAGAACTTGCAGAACATCAAGAATTCTCCCAGGTTATTACTTTGAGTACACAGGGGCAGGGAAAAGTCTGGGCTCAGATAGCTTTAGCTGGGGTTGGCACATGAAGCCTGTCCTCACTGCTGTGCCTGATCCAGCCCAGCGGTGGGCCTGGAGGAACTGCACCTGCCAGCTCACATTCCATCCAACTTCTTATGTCACAGAGCTGAAATCTGCAGTGTCTGTGGGGCCCAAGGGCTAGGGAGTTTGCATGATGAACCACAGGGACCTGCCATTGAGGAATCTGCTGCCAATGTTGTCTGCTGTTTCCCTTTCCCTTTGCCCTTGCATGATAGCACATTTTTTCCTCTCCATCCATTCTCTTTCCCTCTCTGTCTCCCTCACTCAGAATGCTATTTTAACGAATGTCTTTCTGGCACAGTGAAACTAAAAGTGGAGCAGAAACTGGAGCAGATCGGGAAGCTGCAGGGGGTGTGGTTGCACACAGCCCACGTCCTGTGCATGGACGCCATCCTCAGTGTAGGCCTGGAGATGGGAAGCCACAACCCGGACTGCTGGCCACACGTGTTCAGGTGCATGATGGGATCCCCACCCCGCATGGCACCCACCCTGCCATGGGATCCTGGGGGTGATGGAAGGGGTAAACTCCAGAGTTGGCAGCACTTAAACAGAGGTAATAGTTCAGAGTTTGGATAAACCCCAAGTGAGAGATTAAAAAAGAGAAGAGGGACTTCAATTGAATGTATGTCATAGAGAACAAAGTGATAGGATTCAGGAGGTTGTGAATAGATTATTGACATTATTTGGGGGAGGCAAACGAGTTTTATAAAGGAAGAAAAAACAATTTAGTAAATAGTGGATGATAAAAGCCATGTCAGTTAATGAATACGATGCAGATCTAACAGGTGGTGACATGTCAGCAATATAACATTGCTGTGTGTTTGTTAATATCTTCTCCATTTAAAGAAGCATGTTGGATAGCTTACATGGAGACACAAAATATAACAGGGGAGAGAGGCAGGGAGATGGCTATCCCCAGAGGAAGGAGGAAATTGGGGAGCATGATAGCACTAGCTGAATTTCCTTTGTGTCTCAGTGTGGGATTTGCAGAGCAGGTCCATTTGAGCTGTGACTTTTACCAGCTGCTTGTGTGTGATTCTGTAGGGTGTGTGAGTATGTGGGAACGCTGGAGCACACCCACTTCCGCGATGGCACCTCTCAGCCCCCCCTGACCATCAGCCAGCCCCAGAAGGCCCCCGGAGGCTCTGGACTCCTTGGGGACCTGGAGTGTGAAGGCTCGCCCCCGGAGCAGAGCCCGGAGCAGGAGAGTGCCCTGAGCACCGCCCCGGTCATCCAGCCCCTCTCCATCCAAGAACTCATCAGGGAAGGCAGCCGCGGCCGGGCCTCCGACTTCCGCGGGGGCAGTCTCATGACCGGGAGCAGCGCCGCCAAGGCTGTGCTGGCGCTGTCCACGCAGGCCGACAGGTGGGTGTGCACCCCTCCTCCCCACACCCCAGAAAGGCTGTTGGCAACATCCCACCCATCTCTTCTGGTCTCAGAATCACTCCCGGGACAACCTGATTTGTTTACCAGTCATTTAAATCTCAATTTTTTTTTCCAAACGTAGTTTCTGTCTCCTGCCACGCCCCGCACTTAGAAGGACCTGTTGTCTAGTGACTACTGGGAGGCTCCGGAGGCAGGCTGCCCGGACTCCCTGGCTCCAGGCAGCGTCACCCTTTCATCTTGGGATCGGGTCATGAAGTAGCTCTCTCACAGCGTAGCCGCGAGGTTCAATTAATCAGGACCCTTGAGGCACGGAGGACAGAGCGTGGCAAATAATAAAAGTCCACTATTTTTATGATAATTAATGTTTCAAAACCCCACACTCAGAGTGTGATCTGTTACTAAGTGATGCCCCAAAACCACACTAAATTTGAGAGGGAAAAATCAACGGTAAGTCCAACTGTGTGTTGACACTTTGATGTTGAAAGTGTTTTTGGTCACCAGTCACATGTTCTACCGCCTCACTGCACTCTCCAGACGTGGTGGTGGTGCCCAGACTACCAGCACAGGTGCAGTGGGGTTGATCGAGTAAGGATGGACAGCAGGGGGGTGGGAGAGGGAGAAGAGTACCCACTGGCTGGGGTTCTGAACACCCCAGTCTTTCCTGACACTAACTGCAAGGTCATGCCTGTCTAAATAGTTGCACCGAGACTCCATTTTCTGCTTCATCTACTAACCCAGTACCTGTACTAATTCGGTATCATAGTCCCCCTTTTTCCTGCTTATCCGACAAGGTGGCTGTGCAAGTATTTTGGGGTTTGGATAAAGGAGTCAGGTGGGACATAACATTCACCACTGTAGTTTCTTACAAGGATAAAGAAGTGGTTCATGAGATACAAAGCCTAAATAATATTAAAACTGAAATCACAAAAATAGCAAGAAAAATGTTTGCTACAATGGTTTGAGAATGATGAATTCACTGATTTGTGTCTCATATAACTCCTTCAAAGAGGGATTGTTACTTGGTTTCTCTTAGAGACACTGTCCCTCTTACCCAGCATGTGGCACCCCATGGGGCTGCTTGCCCTCCGGTGTCACCGCAGGATTGGAGGGCAGGCATTGGGGGGACCCAGTGCAGTGGAAGGCTGGCTCACCTCATTCCTTATGTGGCCACACAGATCAAATTTGGTCCTAACATTCCAATCACCAGTGATCCTCCTCTCAGCCCTGCTGCCTGCGTTCACCCCTCTTCCCTAACTAGAATGCCCGGCTGAGTGGAAAGCAAGAGAGCCTTCAAGGTCTGTTATGTTAGGGAATATTCATTATCCCAGGAGATACTGGAGCTCCCACCGTGTCCTGGGCCCCAGGGTCTGAGTCGGAGGGGTGAGGACAGTCTCTGCTTTCAGGGAGCTTACAGGAAGGCATCTCCTCCTCTTGTATCCTCGGAGCCATTCCCAGTGTTATACTCATCAATGTAGCCTATCAAAAGCCTTAATTCATTTGCTGGCTTTTCTTTAATATAGCTTATGAGCTTGAAGCTAATTTTAAGGATTCCATCCCCAGTTGTTCATTTTCTAGGAGTGATGCTTTGCCATCTTTCAACTTCTTGTCAATGTCTGAACTATTCCTTGGGTACCAAGATTCTTTTTAAATATTAATATGTCTACTGTGCCCTTCAAATGAAACTCTCAGAGTTAGAGCATACTTGTACACAGTCATTAATGAAATAGCATACATTTTATTAATCACATCTAACAGAATTACCATAATCATTCTGCCATGAAGGCTTTGATGGACTATTCCCAAGTGACATATCTTTTTGTTTCACCCAGGCTCTTTGAAGATGCTATAGATAAGTTGAACCTCATGGCCCTGGGAGGTTTCCTTTACCAGCTGAAGAAAGCATCGCAGTCCCAGCTTTTCCATTCTGTGACAGACACTGTTGATTACTCGCTGGCAATGCCAGGTAATTCTCTCCCTGAAGAAACTGAGCCATGAGATAAGCTGGGAACAGCCCAGACCTCTGATACCAGCACCCTGCCTGCAGACTTGACTCTACACTCCCTTAGCACAGACCACCTGGCTAACTTATCATCTAGGCATGACAGATGTGGGTAGGTAAGGGGTGGGATTATTCTTTGTGAATGCCAATGTCGCTGCTGCCACTGTTAGACCGGTATTGCCACTGGACCTGGCTGGGTTGTTCTGCTATGTTTGGGGTTTGTGATGATAGAGAAATTATATGGCTAGCCAGAGTGCAGATAGCTCTCATGAGGCGTGGGAATCCTTCTCCATATCACAAACCACACCACTCGCCTCAATCCAAGCAGAAGCCACTACTGATTCCAAACTGGACGGAGGGAGAGAAATGGGAAGGCTCAGCAGAAGCCTCATGCCACTCCTAGGAAAACCACTCCCAGGGCACACCCTTTGAATGATGGGTCACTGTCACTGTCTTCACACAGGAGAGACCAGATGAAGGCCAACTGGTGGAGGAGGGAGTAGAATGGTACTGAATTGACCCCTGGTCTCAAGTGGGTAGCAGGCTGCTCCTAAGTGCAGCTGTCCATCAGCTGCCAGGTGGTTGTGCTGAAACAGTGAGCACCTTGTCCCAATGAGTCCAGCAGAGGCACCGAGCCCTGTGGCAGGTTGGACTGCACAACCTCAGGCCCCTTCCATCTTTAGGAATCTGAGATTATATATTTGGCCTTTTGATCCTCACTGCAGATTCTAATTTGAGAACCGCCATCTTTTCCCCACTAGTTTTTTATAAACTTTAAAACATTAGCTGTATAAAGCCAATCTTCCAGAACCTAGAACCTCCAGAGCATCTCTGAGCCCAGGGAAACCTTCTGAGTCCTTTGCATTGGAGAAACCAGCAGACACTGAGCCTACAAAAAGCAATGAGCAGGGTCAGGAAGAGGTAACAAAAGCTGACCCAGGCAGAGGAAGCACTGGCCTTTAAATCAATCAGACGTGAGACCAAATGCTGCCTTCGTTATTTACCAGATGCATCGTCTCAGAAAAGTCAGCTCATCTTTCGGGCATCAGTTTACTAACCTGTAAAATGTTAGTAATTACATTCACTGCTTGAGGTTTGCTTTCAGAATTAAAATGGTTAAAGAGGCAGCGACCCAACACAAGGTCTGAGGTAGAGTAAGCATTCCATACGTCAGTGATTATTATTATTGTCATTTTGAAGTTTATTTGGTATGGCAATACTTAATTAGAAGCATTTTGGTTGGAAGAGCCTATAATGGGCACTCTGTAGGCAGGAAAGGGGAAGCAATAGGACATGAGCAAGAAGGACGTGGGGAAGACTAAGGTAACAGTGGCAAAGAAGTAGCAAGCGATCAGAGTGGGCAAGGACGGTACTGAAGTGAAAGAGTGAAACACAGGTGACACAGCATGTTGTTGGGTGGCAAAGGGGCCTGACTTGCTTGGCAAGGACTTCAGAGTTGCCACAAAGGGTCAGCCAAGTGAACGAAGACCATGAAGAACGACAATCACAACAGTCATGAGAACAGCCAAGAGTGTGGGTCAGGTAGTATGTGTCTGTATTAAGCACTTGTGAGTATTGTTACTTTTAATCCTTAAAATAACTTAAAGAAACAGGTCCTATTATCACCACTTTTACAAGGAGAAACTGTGGACCGGAGACATAAATCACTGGTCCAATGTAACCCAACTACTAAATGGTGAAGAGAAGATTTGAGCCCAGGCAGCCTGACTCCCCAAGCCTCATCCTCACCCTCTACGTCATTCTCCCTCGTCGACAAGCACTGCTCACTTTCATGGCATCCCCTGGGAAGGTAGCGGTGAACAGGAAAGGCGTGTCTGGCCTGGTGGAGTGAACCTCCTCCATCTCTCTTGCGGCCAGGCTCCTCTCCTCTCTTGGCTAGCACTTGCCGAACACTCCTGCTGGCCCGATTATAGTTCTTTCCTTTCCATCCTCTCTCTCTGTTTGAATAGTCAAACTCTGAGTTTGAGTTTTATGGCTCCGATGGCCTTCTTCTCGTAGGAGAAGTGAAATCCACCCAAGACCGGAAGAGCGCCCTCCACCTGTTCCGCCTCGGGGACGCCATGCTGAGGATCGTGCGCAGCAAGGCCAGGCCGCTGCTCCACGTGATGCGCTGCTGGAGCCTGGTGGCCCCGCACCTGGTGGAGGTGAGTGCCAGGGCAGCGGGCAGCTCAGGGGCTCCTTCAGCAGAGCCAGCACAGCGGTCGCCAATCGGTGTGGGGCACAGAGCGCTGTGGCCACAGCCAATGAGAAGGTTCCCATCATCTGGCCACAGCGTCATGGTTCTGTGGTTATGCCTCATGGTGTCTGAAGCATCGCCCCAAAGGTCAGCACTGCCCTGGACTCATCCTGACCACTTTACAATTTGGCAAGATGCCTTACACAGCCAGCTTTCATTCTTTACGACCTGGTGTTGACCCGAGTCTGAAGCTTTATTTTTATACACGACTATAACAATGCCTTTTGTTCCTGTCAGTCTCTCCCTTCTAAGAGCTAACTATATTCTGGGCAGTACCCTCTAAGTAGGAGAACCATACGTAGTTTTCCAACAGAATTAACACTGGGACCCCCTTCACTCTCCAAAGGAAAGCAGTGCATGTGATAAATTTTATGGCAACTCACCATCTCGGTACATGATGACTGGCTACTGCGAAGATGGCGGGAAAATTGTTGCCCTGTTTTACAATAACTATTCTTAGCAGCTCTTTAGTGCCTATCTGGTAGAGGTGTCTTATCTGGTAGAGATATTTTGGGAGCTTAATTCACTAACCTGAGAACATTCTGGTAAGGAAAGGGAGTAGAGAATAATTGCTCAGTTATGGCGAAGCAGTATCACAGTTATCTATTACACTTTAATAAAGCATCCCCCAAACCGAGTGATTTAAAACAATATCCACTTAGTTAACTCAGGATTCCCTGCATCAGGTGTGTGAGCTGGCCTCAGTTGCCACTTCTTCGATCTCAGCCAGGCTTGGCAGATCTCAGCTGGCCTCACATGTCACCTGTGGCCAGCTGGTCCGTGATGGCCTTGACTGGGATGGCTGGACAATGGGTTCTCTCCTCCTCCAGAGGACTAGCCCCAGATCGTTCTCATGGCATTTTTAGAATTCCAAAGGAAAGCAAGAGGGCAAATCCCAAATCACAATGACTCTTCAGCTCTCCACTCCTAAAAGAGTTGATATTGTTCAAAGCAAGCCACACATCCAAGCCCAGGGGGAGGGATAGGAGACTACTACAGGGCCTGGATACAAGGAGCTCTGGGCCATTGAGAGCATTATTGGTGCAATTGCCTCCCTCACCCCCCCCCCCCAACCCCCTGCACTGAGGGACAGATGATTCCTCTGATCGTTCTGTGTTTGGGGCACAGCTAACAACGAGCCCATGGGCAGCTCTGGTGCCTTTATAGTCAGCATGTTCTACGTCACCGAGCCAACTGTCCTGTTACCTAAAAAAAGAAGAAATTACTAGATACTTTCAGTTTCCTAGAAACATTTCAGCGACATTGGAGTTGTGTCCAAGTTAAATTATTAAAAATACAATTTAGTGCGCTGCTCATCTGTCCGTGGCCCTTGACTGTGACAGAATTGCTGTCTCCACGTCCCTGCAATGAGGTGAGTTAGGAAACCCTTTGGAAACCAGATTCTTATTTGCCTGGAGTACTGATGGTGTTCTCTTCTCTCCTAAATTTGCAGGCTGCCTGCCACAAGGAAAGACATGTGTCTCAGAAGGCTGTCTCCTTCATCCATGACATACTGACAGAGGTCCTCACGGACTGGAATGAGCCACCTCATTTCCACTTCAATGAAGCCCTCTTCCGGCCCTTTGAGCGGATTATGCAGCTGGAGCTGTGTGACGAGGATGTCCAAGACCAGGTCAGTGTGTCTCCGTAATCAGCTTTGCATCATCATTGGGGCTAGCTCTTACTGAGTACACTGGCAGGTGTTGTTCCATGAATTTAGCATGTTCACCTTTCCACTAATCCTATGTGGAATCTGTGACAAATAAAGGTGAATCCATTTAGCTGATGATACATGTTTAGTGCTTGGTGGAACTGGGACTCAAACCTATGCAATTGGGTTATACCGGTCTATGCTCTTGTGCCTAGTCTACATGAATTGTTTCTTTGAAATCTAAATATGTTAAATGAATACCTAAGCCCTAGCCTATTTGGCTCCTTGGATAGACTGTCCGCCTGCAGACTGAAAGATCCGGATTCGTTTCCAGTCAAAAGCACGTACTTCAATTGCAGCGTCCTGGTTGCAGGAGGTAACCAATCCATGTGTATCTCTCACAGGGATATTTCTTTCTGTCTTTCCTCTCTCTCCCACTCACTCTAAAAAATATGGAAAATATCCTTGGGTGAGGATTAAAAAGAAACAAAAAAATGATAGAAGACTTAAAATTGTTTTTAAAGACACTCTGGCAAGAAAGTAAAGAATATTAAGATGCCCACAACTAAGTAAAAACTGGAAGCCACAAAAGTGAGCAGAGCTCTAAGACTGGGTTTGCCTCGTCAGAATTTGTCACTAGGTGAAACTAAGTTCTGCTATCACTTTCTTGAGGCCAGAAGAACAGGAAAAAAAAAAAATGTTTAATGCAAATCTTTAAAACTGGTGTCATTCAGATAAAGGTTGGATTAGAAATGAACCCAACCTCCCTAAAGATAAGATCATCCTGTTTCTAACACTGGCATTTAGTAAAGATTAAAAATAATAATAACTCTCCAGGATTAAAATCCCAAGCCAGCCACTCTGGGGGGGGTCAGTGCATGAAAGTGCACCACCTGGTGGTCAGAGAAACTTTGCACCGACACTGTACAGAGCAATTTCCATCAAAATCCAAGCAGGCTTTTTAAAGATATTAGCAAGATGATTCTAAAATTTATATGCCTATTCAAGGGATTGGGACTAGAGAAAAACAGATTTGAAAAAGAAGAACAAATTTGAAAAATTTACACTACCCGATTTCAAAACGTCAGTAGTCAACACAGTGTGTTATTGGTATAAGGATAGACTTATAGAACGATGGAACTTAATAGAGCACACACACAAAAAAAAATCTCACATTTATGTTCAATTAATTTTTTACAAACATGTCACTGGAATTCAATAGAAATGATGTTATTTTCAACAAATAGTGTTTGAATATATGCAGTAAAAATAACCTACACCTTTACCTCAACATATACAAAAAAAAATCTCAATATGGATCATAAGCTTAAGTGTAAGAGCAAAAACTATAAACATTTCTAGGAGAAAGTATAGGAGATGATCTTTTAGACCTTGGATTAGGCAAAGATTTCTTAGAAATGATACCAGCATCATCCATAAAAAGAAAATGTGATGATGCTCATTCCAGCAGCACATATGAAAACTACAACAATACAGAGAAGATTGGCACAGCCCTGCACAAGAATGACATGCAAATTCATGGAACTGTCCATGTTTTGTGCAGTTTCCAAGCTTCCTTACCATCCTTTGCTGATTAACACAGATACACACACAAAAAAAATTTTTTTGGATGAATTTGGCTTCATTAAAACTTAAAACTCTTGCTTTTCTAACATCATTAAAAAATAAAGACAAGCCTGAGGCTATGAAAAGGTATTTGTAAATTATAGACCTCAGGAAAGATCTGAGTCTAGAATACATAAAGAATTCTAAAAATAATTTTAAAAAGATAAGGATGAGAAGACAAAGACCCAATCTAAAAAAAAAACAAAAAAAAACAGTAAAATATTTACAAATGGCTAATAATAAGCTTGTGAAAAGTTGCCCAGCAGCATGAATCATTAGTAAAATGCCCATTCATGTAACATGACTGCTTATTTGGGTGATTTTTGCATGAGTTTGCCTGGGTTCTGCTCTTTCTCTTTCACTAAAATTAACCCAGAAATAGGGAGCAGAAAGACATCACCCTTCCCAGAAATCCTCCCGCTCCTTTGAAGAGAAGGGTTTAATGTGCCACCTCCTTTGCCTCTGCCAGGTCGTCACATCCATTGGTGAGCTGGTTGAAGTGTGTTCCACCCAAATCCAGTCGGGCTGGAGGCCCTTGTTCAGCGCCCTGGAGACGGTGCACAGCGGGAACAAGTCCGAGGTGAAGGAGTACCTAGTCGGCGATTACTCCATGGGTAAGCTAGTGTGTGGGTATTGTTTCCCGGAACTTTACTGAATTCCTTTATTGGTTCTAACCAACGTTTGTTCGAGTCTTTTAGGACTTTGTGTATAGAAGACCATGACCTTTGCAGACAGAGAATTTTACCTCTTCCTTTCCAATTTGGGTGCCCTTTATTTCTTTTTCTTGCCTGATTGTTCTGGAGAGGACTTGAGCAGGAGTGGTGACAGTGGGAAGGATGGGGGCTGACGTTTGCCATAGAGCATTCGTTCTCTGAGCCCAGTTTCGTGCCATCAAAGCAGAGTGAACAATAGGGAGGCCGGGCATGCAGCCGCGCTGTATCAGCAGGAAATAAGCTGGCGTTGCAGGGACGCAGAGTTCTGAGTTCTGCCAGCAGGTGAGAGCCCGAGCATCTGCTCTTACCGATTGGACGAAAGACAAAGAGACTTATTGTTTTCACTTAAACAGATCTGTGCTGAGCTAATGCCTAAAGCCAAAATGAAAAATGTTATCCACTTGCTAGAAAGAAACAGAAAACTATCATAACACAGGAGGCTGGGTCTGGATGGAAAAGGATGGGCACCCCGAGCGCAGGCCCAGCAACCAGGGGTATTGTGTCGGGGTCCCCAAGACCACCCCCACATTCAAAGACCCCACCGGAAGGACTCAGCAAATAACACGCTAAGATTTATTACATGGCCCAGATTTATTCCGTTGTTCACAGCTAAGAAGCAGGATGGCAGCATAGGAAGGATAAGCCAGATTACAAGGGTAAGCCAGATTATAAAACAGACGGGATCTGGGAAAACCCCTGTCAGGCTCTCACCTTCTCGTGTGGAGTCCCATGGAGCACACTTTTACCCCACAGTGAAAAATGCAGCAATACGATATAATGCTTCAGCCCAGGAAAGTGCATTAGAAACCCAGCTGAGGGTGGTCCCGGAGGTACCTTCCGCCTAGCATAACCAGAATTCCTGACTCCCCAAAAGGTAGCAGGTGTTCAAAATAAACCACACTGTTTGCACTGTCTAGCCACAGTGAACTCCCTTTATTCGTTAAGTGTTGCCCAAGAATATTCTGTGAGTCAGGTTCCCAGACTCCAGCCAAGAGCCAAGCTTGCAAGCAGGCCTTACAGGACAGCAGTCTCGGGCCTCCTGTATTAATTCTTTTCTGCACATGTATGAGTAAAGTAGTAATACTCCATCGGGGGTTTATCTAAACCTTCCCTTCTCTAAAATCGCATGTGCAGGGGCCCACGTTTCACTGCCCTATAGACTGCCCATTGCCTCAGCCCTGCATAAAGCCAGCTTTGCCCCCTCTCTACCCTGGGCTCTCTTTGTATAATAGCTCTCCTGCAGCTCCCCCTGCAGGCCAAGCTAAGAAGCACAGCATCGGAGCCAGGCCAGCTGTCCCTTCAAAAGGCACTGGCTTTTCTTGAGAGTTTTCTAAGGCCCTGGGGAAGGTGCCGGAAGTTTGGGCTACCTGAAGGGTAGAGACTTAACTCCCTTAACATTCTATAATCTTCCTCCCTCAGGAAAAGGCCAAGCTCCAGTGTTTGATGTATTTGAAGCTTTTCTCAACACCGACAACATCCAGGTCTTCGCTAATGCAGCCACTAGTTACATCATGTGCCTTATGAAGTTTGTCAAAGGGCTGGGTAAGTGGAGTCCTCCTTCCATGCCTTATGACAGCTGGGGACCCTTTCCTGCGTGGCCTTGTATGGAAAGCCCCAGAGACAGGCCCTCTGACTGCCTGGAGCGAGCCGGCAGCCTGGGGCGGGAGCAGATGGTGTGTGTGAGACTGTGTCCGCGGCTGACATTTTTCATTGTGTTCATGGAATAATCTGGTAATGGAGTATGTTTCCTATTACTTCACAGACCGCTGTTCTATTTAAGAAGCTCTAGTTCTGGTATTCTATTGTTCAGTAAAAAAAAGTGGAGTGCCTCTCCCTGGGCTTGGCAGCCTGTTCGTACTGTGGGATATAAAGATAAATAAAACATGCTTCCTGCCCAGGAGACGCCCTGGGAAACAGACACACAAATCAATAATTACAGTTTAGTACGACAAATACTCTCATAGAAGCTCGTAAAGAAAAAAAAAAGAAAGAAAAGGCATTTAAGCTGAAATGGACAGCTGAAGGGAAGAATGGGGCATGCTCCACGTTTCTTATAAGGACTGATGTTACTCAGAACTGGATATCCAGGAGGAGAGCAAGTCAGTGTGGAGGACAGGACTAAGTAATGAAGTTTAGCTCTGGACATTTGGACATGTTGACTTGGAGTGAAACATTCGAGTGCAGATGCTTCTCTACAGGTTAGAAATTTGAGATTTTTATCTTAAGGAGTTGAGACCTGAAAATGGGATGCAGGATTAGCAGTGTGCAGATGGAGAATATTTAAAACAGGTAGGTCCTAGTTCTTTCTGTGAATTACAAGGTGGAATTACTAGTATTGAGCTGGGGATGGATACTGGGAACATCTGAGCCCCCATCTGAGCATGCTGGCTGGGGACTGCCCTCGGCTCCAGGGGGCGCCATCTGTATAGCCTTTGACTTTGAAATATTCAACTGTACAACAAACTAGGAAATGAATTTATTTTTAATTCCCACTTGGTTATTTCCACCTGAACTTGGCCTAGTCTGTGTTTTTATCCTGTAAGGTGTGTTCATCTAAACCAGGAGTTTTCAAACTCTGGCCCGCAGGCCAAATCCAATCACCGATAGTTTTTATAAATATAGTTTTGTTGGAGCCTGGCCACACTCATTGGTCTGTGGCTGTTTTTGTGCAGCAGGGGCAGGGCTGAGAGGCTGCAGCCAAGGCAGTCTGACCTGCAAAGCCTGGAGCATTTCCTGCCTGGCCCCACACAAAAACGTTTGCCAATATCCAAAACGTAAGAAATGTTTGTCTTTTCTAAGGAGAACATGCCTCTTTGTCTGCATCTGAATTTTAACTAATGCCTAGTAATTATGTCAGTCTACTCACAGGGGAGGGTGCTAGTTGCTACAATTAAAGACAATTAGAAACAATTACAGTACTGTGCAATGATTTTATTAAAAGTCGAGAAATAAGTTCCTTACATGAGAAGAAAAAATCATTCTCAACTATTGTTTGCCTATAGAAAATCTAAAAACCCTCTACAGATCTGTAAAAAGGAAAAAAAAAAAAACACGAATTTTATTTCAACTCAATTACATAGCCTCTATCCCCAAACCCCAGATGTTCAGAATCTTCTCAGAGCTTCATTTATCATCGCTATTTAGTGCTGAGCACCCGCAGTCACATGAGACCCTTTTCCAATGGCGTCCGGGATCATCCCCATCAGAGCTTCAGAAGTCGCACCCTCAGCAGTGGGGCCCAGGGCGGGAATCCGTGTGCCCGGGGACAAGTGAATACTGTTCGGCCACTGCCAGTGCCCGAGCAGGATAGAGAGAAAGTGCCCATTGTTTAGTCAAAAGGGGAGTGACAGAACAAAATCATCTCAACCACATAAGATGTGTGGTATGATCCTGTGTTTAACATGTACACATACATGGAAGGGACAGAATGAGTGAAAGGATTTCTCTCCGGTACACGTTAATTTAATTTTTTTTTTTTTTTTGTCTGTGTTAGTAGATACTGGGTGAGTTAATGCTGTGCGAGCAAACAGGTCTTCTGCTGTAAGGGCATAAACAAGGATAACTTTGTCTCTGACCCCCAGGGGAGGTGGACTGTAAAGAGATCGGAGACTGTGTCCCAGGACCAGGAGCCACCGCCCCCGACCTGTGCCTCCCTGCCCTGGACTACCTCAGGCGCTGCTCTCAGGTACGGGGTTGCTCATGCCGAGTCCCAGGCCCTGGAACCTGCCTCGGGAGGTGCTTGTGTCAAAAGACACATATGGGTGTGTTTGGCCGAGTCCCAGGAGAACCCTGTCTACGGTCTCTGAGGCGATGGGGACTTAGGTTTGGAGCATAAGTGTTTGTCCACACCCATGCCACGAAGGAGAGAGAAAGTAATAACTGTGTCCTAGAACACAGTTGGACCCCAAGATCTCTGGCGCTTCTCATTTATCCTCAGATGAACGACCATCATTTCTATATGTCAGGCTGTAGAGGGAGGAGTCATGAGGTCCCAGGAGATCTTCCTTATACACCAAAACGGGGATGCAGCCAGGGAGGACAGACAGAGAAAAAGGAAGAGGGGTGTATTCAGTCAAGGGCTAGTCGGCAAACCCAATAAAACATCACCTGTCATATGGGCAGTGACCTTAATTTTGCTCAGTTCAATAACGCTCTGTCCTTACCCATGTCCAGTGCCTGTGGAACAAGGCGGCATGCTGTCCTTGAGGCCCTTCCTCCTCTGGGCTTCAGTGACACCTCTCTCAGTTACTCTCAGATAGATTTTCTCCTGTCCTCTCAGCTTGTGTCCACAAGGCCCCACATGACATAACTCCGGTTCTATTTCCACCTCAGAACCCCTCCTCTCACTCACTGTGCTCCAATCACTCCCCCCTTCTGCCCCTCTCATACACCCCGCTGATTACACCCAGGGCCTTGCTGCCCTCTCTGCCCAGAATGCTTCCTCCTCAGATCTCTGTATGACGCCCTTATCTTCCAAATCTCATTGGGAACATCGCTGGTCAGAGAAACCAGGCCTTTGGTATCTACCGACTCCCTGCCAATGTGCCCCACACAGCTTGGTCACTCTCTGTAGAATCATCTGTCTAACGTTCTAACATTTACGTCAGACATTTTATTATTTCTGCAAAGATTCTTGTCTGTAAGACCCATAGGAAAGGAATTTTGTCTATCTTTCTCACAGCTGTTTCCCTGGTTTCTAGAACACGATGGTCATAGCAGGCCAGATTGTAATTTGTGAAGGTATAAGGACCTTTGGCAGTTTCCTTAGTAGACACCCCTAGGGGACCCGGCTCTAGTGGAGAGAGGGGAGTAAAGAGCCAAGGGTAGTGTCTTCTGTTCCTGGTCTTGGTTAGAGTTTCTTCATTTCCCCATTGTCCCCTGTGTCTGATGAGGGATCACGGGAGGGGGAAATCGGAGTTTGGAATCTGATTTGCCTGCAGACTCTCTTCTCATTGACGCCATAGAACATCTTCTCCCGTAGGCAAAAATTCTTGACATGTGACATGGTTCCCTTAGTAGGTTCATATGAATCTTTAAAACTCATAGGCAATTGAGATGCTGCAAAAATATTCATTGTGTTTTTTCCCCCCTCTACCTTTTTGTTGCTATTGAATGCTATTTCATTTGCTTCCTGGGATAAATGCCTCCTGCAAGAAGCCAAATTACAACCGCTCAACTCTAAACCTTTCATAGAGTGGCAGCTTTTCTCTCCCCTTTCTATAACTAGTATATAACTTTATTGTTTTTTTTAAAGCCCTGAGTGTAGCTTTTTCCAATATATAACTGAAATTTGTTTTTTTATTTAAAAGTTATTGGCCAAAATCTACAAAATGCCAATGAAGCCAATATTCCTTAGCGGGCGACTTGCTAGCTTGCCTCGAAGACTTCAGGAGCAGTCAGCAAGCAGTGAGGATGGCATCGAGTCGGTCCTGTCTGATTTTGATGATGACACGGGTAAGTTCATCGATTAGACTAAATCAGGTTATTGGCTGTGTACGTATTCTCAGAAGCTTAAGCCATGAATTAAGTAGCTTACAGATCTTGAGTGATCATCCACATATGTTGTTACTGTTTATGATTCTAACAAGTCTACCTAAAAGTTTCTATGGGTTCTCCAAACACATTTCACAGTTGATGCCTCCATCTAAAAACAGTGCAGATTCTGCTAAATATGATTTCTAACTTTGACTCTCTTGAATTTAGCACTTTGGAATGTGGTTGCATTAGGGCATTGGTACTTAAATTGGCTGGTAATTGTCTTTAATTCCTTCTAGGAAACACAATCATTATATAATTACTTCCTGCAGGACTATTTGGTTAGAGACTGGGGAAATTATGCCATTGCTGAAGAGAGAATCTATTTGTGACAGGAGAAGCTAAAGACTCATTAAGAGAATAATTTTAAAGACTATGTTCCAAATTAGTTCCCATGTACTTTTCTGTGAATTGGAGTTCCGTCTAGTAGCTTTGGTTTATTTTCAGACCGGCTAACTCATGCTCCAACTTGATGACACTGTTCTGTTTCTAGATATAGAAATGGAAATGATATCCTTAAAGGGATCTGATATCTCTGAATGGGTTGTTTCAAACCCTCACAAAAGACTTTTTAGGGGAGGCTTCTTAAATTTGCTTTTGTGTTTGTTTTACATTTTGCTATTACAAATTCAGTTATGGGGGTGGCTAGAAGATTTACAGTTTTCCATAGAGATTATAAAACCTCACTATTTATGAGAAAGAACTATAGGAATAACTAATGGAAAGGAAAAATTAAAATACTGGAAACTGGTTACATGTTGCTTAATAGAGGTTTCATTTTAATGGTTAGATTAGCATTGTGAACCTCCAAAATCAGTTTGTATTCAGAGTGTCCCAAAAATGTATACACCACTTTGAATAATTAATTATAAAGGCAGTTTTTATTAAAATACATTTCTTTTTCAAAATTGACCTATCAGCATTAAAGTATTTTTACATTTTGAGGGGGACACCTGTATATAACAGTGGGCATTCCCTTTTCATGTATGCAAATCATTAATCGTTTTTTTTAAGTTTAGCCAAGAATACACAAAGTTTCCCACAGTATAAATTTATAGAAGGTTTTAAAGTTATAATTATATAGGAAATATAGCTAAATCAGAGAAAAGAATAAAAGTAAACACTTTAAGTTAGTATTAGCAATTCTCACTATTTATATATTCTGAGATATTTCTCTAGTTTTCAAAGGCAAATAATTATTTTCCCCCTATGGAAATTTTATAGACATATATAAAACTAGACAGAATGGTATAGTGAACCTTCATATACCTTTCACCCAGCTTCAAATATAAACTTATAGCCAGCCTCATATAATGTAAAACACACACACATGCTTACATTCCATCTTCCTCACCCCTACCCATATCCTCCTTTCCATATTATTTTAAAGCAAACCTGAGATATTAGTATGTTTTCTTTAAAGATAATAACAATAAAGTAATCACATTTAAAAATATCACATTTAAAAATCAACAGTCACTCTTTACTAACATCAAATATCTATTGTGTAAAACTTTCCAATTGTCTTATAGATGTCAGATAATTTTTAGGATTCACATAAGATCCATACTATATGTTTGTTTGACATGTCTCTTAAATCCTTTTCAATTATAATCTGTCCCTATACAGACCCTGAGAGCTGTCTTCCTGGGGGATGCCTCCCATCCATAGAGCGCATGGCAGTTTAGAGAGATTCTGTATCCTGTTGACCCAAATGTCACAGAGGTCTGGTTTTGCGTTCCAGGTCTGATAGAAGTCTGGATCATCCTGCTGGAGCAGCTAACAGCAGCTGTGTCCAACTGCCCACGGCAGCACCAGCCGCCAACCTTGGATTTACTCTTTGAGCTGTTGAGAGATGTCACCAAAACACCTGGTAAATATTTCCATGTCTATCATTTGGGGCAGGTGTCCTACATATAATGTTTCTCAGAAAGGGCCTTCCTATTTTACTGCTGTAACCCTAGACAGCATAATAGATGCTCAGTAAATATTTATGGAGTGGCTATGATGTTTAGGATATGTCCTATGATTATTTACAAATAATGTGTGGTGGCCAGTTAGTTGAATGTGTTGGAGGCCCACAATAATGAGGCCGTGGCATCAGTGTCTCCGTGAGCGAGCTGGCTTTACTCTGTTCCATAAGCCCAGCCTTGTATCTCACATGTTACTGACCCGAGCGGTCGATAGGGTTCACAGTGTCTCCCACTGAGTGGATATCCAAACCGCTCAAATGTAAATGCAGTATTAAGACAGTAGCATCTTGATTGTATAAAGGTCAGAGGAAATTAGATTTGTAAAATGACAGTTTAGTGATCACCTAGTACCCTGATAGGAGAGGAAAAGAATGTCCTTAAAAATGTATTTTTTTGTTCTGAGTTAAGGTTAGTATACACACTTATCCAAATTTTCCTTAAATTAAATTTTTATAGATTTTAGTTTTCATGAACAGAATCATAACCACAAACGAAACCACTAATTTATAGTAAGAAGAGGGGTTTTGTATTCAATATAAACAGATGAAGACTTGATAATTGTGGTACTGTTTTAAATCTATAGCAAACTTTATATTGTAATTTCCCCCCAGAAAATCATAATAGTTACTCTCACATTTCCCCCCAGAAAATCATAATAGTTACTCTCACATATTAAAATGTTAAATGCCAAAATAATCAGGTATTTTTTTAGTTAACATTTAAAAAATATATTTTTTTATTGATTTTAGAAAGGAAGGGAGCGGGATAGAGATAAGAAACATCTATGATGAGAGAGAATCATTGATCAGCTGCCTCCTGCACACCCATACTGAGGATCGAGCTCACAACCCAGGCATGTGCCCTTGGCTGGAATCAAACCTGGGACCCTTCAGTCTGTAGGCCAATGCTCTATCCACTGAGCCAAACTGGCTAGGGCAAAGCAGGTATTTTACAGAATGAATTATTTGCCACTGCTTCTAAATTGCTTTATTGGTCATTATCATTTTCTGCTTTCACATTTAGTGCTACTAAGTGTGTGAATTTAACCCAGTAATTCTACTCCTAGAAATCTATCATCAAAGGAAATTAATGGTAATAAAGACAAAAACTATATATGATAATATATGCTAAAACATCTTAAATACAAAAAATAAGTATGGTAAAAGCATATAAATATTCTATTGACATTAAAATGAATATTTGAGAATAATATGTAATGACATGAATAACTGTTTATAAGGCATTACATTAAAATATACAATGAGTGGCCAGATTATGATGATCTCTGAACGCATAATAATCTGGCCACTCAGTGTATTTGTATCTCAAATGGATACCAAAAGTATTCTAGACTTTTGCTGGAGATCAACCACCTATTTTCCCTGAGCTTTCTATCAGCCAGTGCAAAGGGGAAAACTGATCAGGTGCAGATTTATAGTATCTTTGATATCAAATAAATGAGGTACTCAAGAGAAGTACACTGAGTGGCCAGATTAGTATGCATTCAGAGATCATAATAATCTGGCCACTCAGTGTATATACACATATGGAATATAATCTCAACTTTATGAAGTTTTATATATTTATAAATATATACACCCCAAACACACATATATTCAGAATGTACTTTTTTCTTCTTTGTATTCTCGTGTTTTCTGTGTTGATTATAAAAAGGATGCCTCATTTTTGTAACCAGAATTTAAAAAATTCATCTTTCTCACAGATTTTCATTATGGCATTGACTATAAAGCAAAATAGAGAAATGTCTTCAATGTCCATTTTAAGGGAATGGATAAGTAAACTATTGCATAAATATACAATGGAGTAATAGTATGTGGCAATAAAAATGAGGATTACATAAATTTGCTGACACAGAATGATCTCTAGCACATATTGTTAAGAGCAAAAATTCAACATGTAGACCAAAGTTTACATTATCCCATTTATATAAAAATAATAAATAGAAAATAATAAATAACAAATACAACTCTATTTCTCTGTTTCATATAAATACATAAATACTTATATTTTAAGGGTATTTTCTTAATGTATCTGTATGTTTACATCTGGGGACTAAGTAGTTGATCAAGTGATTATTTGAATTCATGTATTACTTGCATAACTAAAATCATGCAGAAAACAAAAAAGAAAAATGTAATCGGAGATCTGTATTCCCTAATCAGTGGTACATGTTTTTCCCTGCACTTTCTCAGAGAATAGGGCACTCCCTCAAAAGAGGTCATCACGAAACTGGTTTGGCTCAGTGGATAGAGCGTCGTCCTGCAGAGTCAAGGGCCCAAGATTCGATTCCAGTCAAGGGCATGTACCTTGATTGTGGGTACATCCCCTGTGGGGGGTGTGCAGGAGGAGGCTGATTAATGTTTCCAGCTTTCAATCCCTCTCCCTTCCTCTCTATAAAAAAAAATCAAATATATTTTTTAAAAAATAGGTCATCAATGCAACAGGTGGCAAAAGCTTCCTTTTTATAGGAGAGTTGCTGAAATCATGGTTCTGATGCTGACTTTTCCTTTCAGGACCAGGGTTTGGTATCTATGCAGTTGTTCATCTTCTCCTTCCTGTGATGTCCCTTTGGCTCCGCCGGAGCCATAAAGACCATTCTTACTGGGATGTGGCCTCAGCTAACTTCAAGCACGCCATCGGTCTGTCCTGCGAGCTGGTGGTGGAGCACATTCAGAGCTTTATACACTCAGGTATCTGCGGCACCCGAGCAGCTGGCATGGCATGTTTCATTAGTGGGCAGCAACACTGTCTAAAACCCTAATGCAGCACCAGTGCATGGCTTTTGTCCTGGGAATTATTAACATAGAATTACATGGTCAAGGCAAGCCTTCTAATAGTAAATGGTCAAAAAGAAAATTGTTACTTACATGTCCTGTACAAAATTAACAGACAAATGGCAGGGGGCGGTTAGGAGGCAACCCCAGAACTTGTATGCATGCATATTAGCATAACCAGTGGACACTGGGGCAGGAATGGCTGGCCAGGAAAGGGGGGGGGGGTAGATAGGGGGGTCAATTAAGGAAAAAGGAGACATATGCAAAACTTTAGACAATTAATTTTTTTTAAATTATCTAACAGAATACTTAAAATATATGTGTGACCAAAAGTAAGATACCTAATAATATCTGTGCATTAGGAGAGGCAAGTTCAAGTATACAATACATTTAAAAGGGAGATATATCCCTGCAGTCTGGGGCGGCTAAGTGACAGAGCAGGATTTCAGAAAAGGCTGAAATTATGGGCAAGAAGTTGCTTAACAGGCTAAGGGATGATGATAAGGTTCTTAATATCTATGGGGCTTTGAAAAATGGCTTGGAAGTGTGGGGTATATTGAAGTCCACAGGTAGAGAGGGAGCCAGATGCAGGGGAGATCTGACTGCGGTGGTACCAGTGGGCAACATTAGGGAAATATAGATTCCTGCTCATGACTCTTGCTAAGAGGAGATCTGAAAATGTGAGAGGAAGAATGTTGATGCTCGCTCTAGAGGTTGCAAAGAAAAGAGGCTCCCTTTTTAGGAGGGTTTAGAGAAATTAGTGAGCACTTGACCCTAAGGGAGAGTCAAAAAGCAAAGGTAAGAAGTAGGTGTCTTTACTAAGCTTAACAGAAAGATGTATTCTCTGGGGAGAGGGAGGACCTAATTGAGAAAGAAAAGAAGTGGGTGTTTGCACAGTAGGCTGACCAATGTATCCCTAGGGGTAGCTGCTCCTGACCAGCTGCTTTGTTCTGCATGGGGCCCTTGAAGATTCTACTGAGAACTGTTTCTGTGGCTTCACAAGGACTTTGAAGAAAAGAATACTGATGTGTTCCTTGAATTGGGCACACAGAGTGTGACTTTTGAAAGTCTTATTTTCTTTAGCCTGGGGATAGTATGGAGACCAGACTCAACAGGTTCAGGGAGTGGTAGGATGAGAGAGATTTTGTTGTTGTTTTCCAATAGCTTTTAATCCGACTTAATTCTACTATCAGCAGTAAGGAAAGTGTGTTTTATTCCCTCCACTTCCTTTAAGAATTTAAATGTGTCACTAGCTAGTATTTAGGCTATATGTTATATTAGGCTATATATTATATTCTACTTAAATATATCATTTTTTATAGTTAAATATATCATTTATTTACTTAACTATAAAAAATATTCTTGAGCACATGAAAGTGAAGCACATATTTCATCTTGATAAATCAAAAATAAATGTTATATATTTTTATCACAATTATATTTTCATCACACATATTTATTTTCTTATCAGATTTTCCTTCTTTGCAGCCCCTTCTTTTGCAATAGTGTTGCGTGAAACTTGCTGTGCTTCTTCCTACAGACATTAGGTACGAGAGCATGATCAACACCATGCTGAAGGACCTCTTCGAGTTACTGGTAGCCTGTGTGGCCAAGCCCACGGAAACCATCTCCAGAGTGGGCTGCTCCTGCATTAGGTGAGAAAAGGGTTCTTTGGCTCTCTATGAAACCGGAGTTTTCATTATGAAATCCAAGGGAATTAATGACCCTTTGTGGTAACAATCTACTTTTTAGATTTTTTTTTTTTTTATAAAAATAACTATATGCTAATATGTCTTCATTTCTGTGTTCAGTTGGCAAATATTTGTTGTGTAGGCATTACACAGGTTCCCTGCCCTCAAGGAGCAGAGAGCCTATTCTATACCAGAGAGTCCCGTGAAGAATCATCACAGTACGGAGTAACTAAATGCTGAGAAAGGACAGGAGTCAGGTGGTCAGCGGGGCTTTTAGTAATGATACTTGGACTTTGCAGGCAGGAGAAGTGCATGGACAAATACATGGAGATAAGAATTACAAGTGACAAAAGGGTTTTTTATTTTGTTATTTGTAAAGGAGTAGTATGGACAACAGGGCTAGGATTGAAAAATGAGTACAGAATGTACACAGTCTTGCATGCAAGCCTAAGTTTAAACATTGGCCTTTTTGGAATAGGGACTCATTGATATTTTTACATTGAAATGATTTTGGAAGTCATAATATGACCATGAAACACCAGAAGGACTGAAGGCAAGAGTGATGAGACAGCAAAACTTGTAAGGATACTGGAATAAGTGTGTGTGTGTAAGGATCTAAGTCACGTAGCAGTAAAATGTATGGATTTAAGACGTCTGGTTTCTTTTGGCAGGTACGTTCTCGTGACAGCAGGCCCTGTGTTCACGGAAGAAATGTGGAGGCTGGCCTGCTGTGCCCTGCAGGACGCATTCTCTGCCACACTCAAGCCCGTGAAGGTAAAATGCTGGGAGAGAACCAGAGCAGGGTCCAGTCCTACATAGTTCCTGTGAGTTGGCCACCTGGATTCTGCCTTCCTCATAGAGGCAGTCTCTGACACAGTGACAGATCCTAGTGCCATAGTCGACAGAGCCACTTGTGGCTCTTTGGCTCCTTGAGTCTGGCTCTTCCACAAAATACCACAGCTTGGGCGAGTATATTTTGAAAAAGTGGCATTAGAAGAAGTTTTAAGTTTAAAAAATTTGACTCTCAAAAGAAATTTCAATCGTTGTATTGGTGATATTTGGCTCTGTTGACTGAGTTTGCCAACCACTGCCCTAGTGCCATCCACCCCGAGGCACCCGGTGAATGACTGCTGTGTTTGTCCCTAGGATCTGCTGGGCTGCTTCCACAGCAGCACCGAGGGCTTCAGTGGGGAAGGCTGCCAGGTGAGGGTGGCAGCCCCCTCCTCCTCCCCCAGTGCCGAAGCCGAGTACTGGCGCATCCGAGCCATGGCTCAGCAGGTAAGGGCTGGCCTTGTGATCCCAGGGGCTCTAGAAGCCTGACACATTCTGGGAGTCCCACGCTGCCTTTCACTCCCTTAGGGACCTTGACCTCTTGCCAGTAGGTTCTTCACCAGAAATGACTTGAATCCAATTGATAGCGTTTATGGTCCTCCCCACCATCTCTTGTTAGTTATATTTTTGTCACTGCTTGCCTGTGAGTACTTAAGGATGGCACACTTATTTGATATTTTTCCCTTAATAGAGTTGAATGTAACTGTGAATATAACTAATCAGTCAAGTTAAACTGTACTTACTCTTGTAGGTGTCACCATGGACTTTTTCTTCTGGCACATGCCAAAGGGGTGGCTTCTCTAAATATAAATCCATTACACCTAGCTAGCTAAAGAATTTCCCCAGGTGCATACAGTAAGAAGTGAAAATATCCATGGAATCCTATATCCATGGAATCCTATTCTGAAATAGATCATTCATGGAGAACAGTCAAGAAATTTTCGCTCCATAATATTTCTTTCTTCTTCAGTCCCAAACCTACCTCCTATATTCACTCTACACTTAACCCAGTAATCTGATAATGCTTACAAACTTTGGAAATAAATATTCATTTAAAATACTCATATTTTCAAAAGGAAGTAGGTTAAATCATGTAAAATGAAATCTCACATGGATCAAAATGAGGGCCGTGGTAACCCTTCTTTTAGTCACTTCTCCTGTCAGGACTAATGATGTGGCCATACTACTCTACTACCCTGTTTCCCCGAAAATAAGACAGTGTCTTTTTCTCCCAAAGTTGTGCTAGGTCTTATTTTTGGAGGATGTCTTATTTTCGGGGAAACACGGTAGACAGCCAGAGAAGTCCTAACTTTTTTTTTTGTACCGGACAGAATAAGATACCAAACAGATGTCACAATTAGAGAAGATCTTTTACAAACATCACCCCCCTGTGTTTACTTTTAATATTAAACATCAGTGCCAGCTCTTTAGAGAGTGTTGAATTATCACCTGCTAGAAGGAGAAGTGTTATTAGTGTTAGCAGCTAACATTTATTGAACATTTGCTATTCTTTCTAGTGTTTTTCCTATGTAATACACATGTGTTTATTTAATTCTCTTGACAAATATACCTGGTTGGAAACCACTATCCACCTCATTTCATAGATGAGAAAATGAGTAGAGAGACTAGGTACTTGCCAGCTAACCTCTTGAGTCGGATCTCTGAACTGTGCCTTTGTGTACCCATACAGGTGTTTATGTTGGACACCCAGTGCTCACCAAAGACTCCAAACACCTTCGATCATGCCCAGTCCTGCCAGCTCATTATTGAGCTGCCTCCTGATGAAAAGCCAAATGGACACACCAAGAAAAGGTAAGCAGCGAAGCTTAAACATTTTAGGGCCTTATAAATAGGGAAGTTCCTTTAGACCCAGTCCTTGCTAATTACAATTCAAATTTTCTCTAGGAATACTGAAATATTTGCAGAGTCATTTAACAAATGCTTTCATACAAAATGGTTAGCCTTTTATCTTTTCCACATTTCAGACTTGCTAGGGCTGCCACAATGGGATAACTTAAACAACAGAAATTGGAGACTGAGGTGTTGCCAGGCTTGTTTTTTTTCTAAGTTTCTAGATGGATGTTTCCTCCCTGTGTTTTCACACATCTTCTCCCATTCTTATACGGATGACAGTCCTAATGGATTAGGGTCCCCACTAATGACTTCATCTCTTATAGTCACATTTTGGGGTACTGTGGGTCGGGATCAACATTTGAATTTGAAGACACATCTCTGTCTATAGCATCATACATATAACTTAAAAAAATAATTAATTTTGAGGTGTAATTCATATTGTATCAGTGAGAAATAAAGAAATTCTTATGAGCAACACAGCTGTCAGGAGCCAAAAACATACATGTGCTCTGCCACAAGAACCTTGATCTTTTTAAATACAGGCACTGCTCAGAGAGATATTACAGGTTTGGTTCCAATAAAGCACGTTGCGCAAAACAAAAAAGGCATAATTATTTCACTGGTGGAGGCACTTGCCTCCAATTTGTTAAAAATCATAACATCTGTGAAGTGCAATAAAATGAGTTCCTGTACTACCATCCCGCTTAGAAACAACTATACTTGCAGATGAAGGCAACTACTGAAGTTTTCAATTTAAACTTCCAACAAACTACAAGTGATCTGATAAATATTTGAGCACACTATGTAAAGCATGCTAGATCTTTCCACTACCATTGAGAGAGGTGGAGCCAGACTCAAAAGGCGTTCCATTTTAGGGAGAGAGTATGATTTTTCCAAAAGTTAGATGCTTAGTACAGCAGTTTGATTAATAGAACCAATTCAGTGAAACTTCCAGTTACACTTTTTTAGTCAAGTGTGTGGTACATACAAAATGTAACTATGACCCTGTCAACTACCTTCAGAAACAGAGCTTTACCAATATCCCACATGCTTCTCTCTAGTTCTATGCCTAGTTTCCCCCAGTCACTCATTTTTTAAGTGTACCACTAGTAAATCAAATATAACAATATTTTAAAAGGATCATACACCACCATCCAGGAGGATTCATTTCAGGGGTGCGAAAGTTTGGTTCAACATCTGTAATTCAGTGTGATATATCATATTAACAGAATAATGGATAAAAATCATGATTTGTTTAGTACAGTGGTCAGCAAACTCATTAGTCAACAGAGCCAAATATCAACAGTACAACGATTGAAATTTGAGAGCCAAATTTTTTAAACTTCTTCTAATGCCACTTCTTCAAAATAGACTCGCCCAGACCGTGGTATTTTGTGGAAAAGCCACACTCAAAGAGCCTCATGTGGCTTGAGAGCCACAGTTTGCCAACCACGGGTTTAGTAGATTTAGAAAAAGCATTTTACAAGATTGATAGTATCTCAACATAATAAAGTTCATATATAACAAACCCACAGCTAACATCATACTCAACTGTGCAAAACTAATAGCTCTTCCTCTAAGATCAGGAACAAGAAGGTTGCCCACTCTTGCCACTCTATTCAACATAGTACTGGAAGTCCTAGCCACTGCAACCAGGCAAGTAAAAGAAATAAAAAGCATCCAAATTGGAAAGGAAGAAATAAAATTTCATTTGCTAATGAAATGATTTTATATACAGAAAACCTTAGACTATCGGAAAGATAAATGAAGTAAACAAGCCCATTTACAAATATACCAAAAAGAACAAAATATCTCGGAATAAACTTAACAAAGTGAAAGACCTGTAAGACCTGTATTCTGAAAACTGAAGATATTGTTTAAAAAGAAATTGAAGGAGATAGATACTCCACGTTCATATTACCTAAAGCAATCTACAGATTCACTATAATCCCTATTAAAATACCAGTGGCATTTTTCACAGAAATAGAATGAAAATATTAGGCTCTCCTCTGTTACCTGCTGAAAGCACTGAACGTTTTACATGTATTCATCTAATTCTAAAGCATTAATGGTTAAACTGTTTTGGTCTTTAGAAAGCTAAACTTCAATAAGATTGCTAAAAATATTGGGTTTAAGAAAAACAAACTATTTTTTATTTAATATGTTAATTACTCAGTTATAAAATGTATTCTAATTATGCCTATATAAATCAGTTGTTATAAAAACTGTTTATTATTTTTTCTAAGGCTTGTAGATAATTGTTAGTGTCATAACTTAGTTCTATAGCTCCTAGATTTTAAAAAGTGTCAGGAATTCCATTTATTATGATTAAAATTATTGTGTAATGCCCTTTTTTTAAAATGGTTTTATATACAGAAAACCCTAAAGGCTATCAGAAAGAGAAATGAAATAAAGAAGCCCATCTACAAACATACCAAGAAGAATAAAATACCTAGGAATAAACTTAACAAAGGAGGTGAAAGACTTATATTCTGACAACTGAAGATACTGTTTAAAAAATATTTTTTTAAAAAGGGCATTACACAATAACCATTTTAAAGAAGGCTTTCAAATACAAGTAATTTAGATTTTGCATATGTCATTCTGAAACGTGTAATGCCTTTAACATATCATTGAAGGCAGGCGGTTCCTAACCAGTCCCCTTCTTCCCCCTTGAAGTGTTTCCTTCAGGGAGATTGTGGTGAGCTTGCTGTCCCATCAGGTGTTGCTGCAGAACTTGTACGACATCTTGCTGGAAGAGTTCGTCAAAGGCCCCTCTCCCGGAGAGGAGAAGACCGTCCCAGCGCCGGACCCCAAGCTGGCCGGCTTCCTGCGCTACATCTCCATGCAGAACCTGGCCGTCATCTTCGACCTGCTGCTGGACTCCTACCGGACGGCCAGGGAGTTTGACACCAGCCCGGGCCTCAAGTGCCTGCTCAAGAAGGTGTCCGGCATCGGAGGGGCCGCCAACCTCTACCGCCAATCTGCCATGAGCTTCAACATCTACTTCCACGCGCTGGTCTGCGCCGTCCTCACCAACCAGGACACCATCACGGCCGAGCAGGTGAAGAAGGCCCTCTTCGAGGACGACGAGAGGAGCACCGACTCCTCGCAGCAGTGCTCCTCGGAGGACGAGGACATCTTCGAGGAGACGGCCCAGGTGAGCCCGCCGCGGGGCAAGGAGAAGCGGCGCTGGCGGGCCCGCCTGCCCTCGCTGAGCGTGCAGCCCGTCAGCAACGCCGACTGGGTGTGGCTGGTGAAGCGGCTGCACAAGCTGTGCATGGAGCTGTGCAACCACTACATCCAGATGCACCTGGACCTGGAGAGCAGCCTGGAGGAGGCGCCCCTCCCCAAGGGCGACCCCTTCTTCATCCTGCCCTCCTTCCAGTCCGAGTCCTCCACCCCGTCCACCGGCACCGGCGGCTTCTCGGGCAAAGACACGCCCTCGGAGGACGACCGCAGCCAGGTGGCGGCGGCGGCCCGGGAGCCCCCCGCGGGGGGCGAGTCCCCGGTGCTGCCCCCGAGCCCCAAGGCGGAGAGGAAGGAGCCCCCCGGCAGGAAGAAGGAGTGGTGGGAGAGCGCGGGCAACAAGATCTACAGCATGGCCGCCGACAGGACCATCTCCAAGCTGATGACGGAGTACAAGAAGCGGAAGCAGCAGCAGCAGCACAACCTGCCTGCCTTCCCCAAAGAGGGCAAAGGGGAGAAGAAGGGGGAGGCCCTGGGCGCCCGGGGCCCGGACTCCCCGCTGCTGCAGCGGCCCCAGCACCTGATGGACCAGGGGCAGATGCGGCATTCGTTCAGCGCGGGCCCCGAGCTGCTGCGGGAGAAGAGGCCGCGCTCCGGCTCCACCGGGAGCTCCCGGAGCGTGTCGGTGCGGGACGCCGAGGCGCAGATCCAGGTGGGTCCCTGCAGGGCGGGGTGGGCGCCCCGGCAATGCAGGGGAGGCGGGGTTCTGAGGATGCACACGCCCCCTCACGGGGCACTCACTGTCTGAGATTAGAGGGACTGCCATAAGAGACCCAGTTTCCCTCCAAAGGCAGGAGATTGGCCGAGGCTAAGACTAGGATATGTCTGTATCAGTGATGTCATGGTGAAACTGGCATTTCAGGAATTATTATTGAGAAGATGGAAGCCAAACTTATAAAATGGATGTGCTTCAGGGGGAAGTGAAATAAGCCAGTCAGAGAAAGACAAATATCACATGATCTCACTCATATGTGGGATATAGTGAACAAAATAGATCCAGAGGCATAGAAGTATGCAGCAGACTGTCGAATCTCAGAGGGAAGATAGGTGGGAAAAGATCAACCAATGACACAGACAATAGTGTGGTGAAAGCCGGTGATGGGTGAGAAGTGGTTAATGGAGGGAAAAGGAGACATATGTAATACTTTCAACAATCAATATGTTTTTTTAATGGGTGTACTTTAGCTGGTATGGGGTCCTGAGTTTATCATTTGAAGATACACTGAAGAAATTCCATAGTTAGAAAGAATAATATAAAGGTGGTTATGCCAATGAACTGTTTTAATCTCAAGTTTTCCTAACCTATCCAGAGCACATAAAAATTATCATTCTTCAGAGGGCTCTGAGTGCCTGCTCATTGATATATTTCATATTTGTAATTCCATCGAACATTAAAAAAAATGAGCTTGAGAGGGAAACAGTGGTGGTACTGTTTTGTTCAATTTAGAATAGATGAGATGGAGGAGAAAACAAATAGAGGGGATGTGGAGTCATGGCGAGACCTCTAAAAACAATTTTCCTGAAATTGTGGACTCCTGCTAAGGGCATAATAAATTAGACAATCTTGGGCCCTATGATCTCATGAACCTAAAGAGAGATACTGAATGAACATAAATTAGAAACTATAGTATGAATCTCTTGTAAGATGTGTTATTTTCCACTAAAGTACCGTGAATGTTGAACCCAGTTTCAGAATCCACAGAAATCATAAACTAGATTTGCAAAAGTCTATGATCAAAAGTCAAACTGTGATGCATGATTATTCTTTAACAGATGGCCTTCTTGACAAATAATAACATATCTTATTGCCTCTCATGTCTTGGAAATTTGCTTATGATTTTAAAAGTTATCCTATATTAAAATAGATCTATTTCAAATTTTCTAGGCATTATAGTGACTGCTGATTAAAAGTGTTAAAATCCCATTATGAAAAGTCAAGAGTTTTTAAAACTGAAGAGTAAATAAGATTTTATAGTTTATGAAAGCTGAAAATAAGGTATCCATAATCTATACTAATAGAGGAATATGCAAATTGTCCAGGACACCATCATAGTAACAACTGAACAGCAGGATGTGTGTGGTGGCCAGGCCAGCTGGGGAGGGGGACGGAGACGCGGGTGTTAGTGAGGGACCACCAAATGACTGAACAGCAGGCTGCGTAGGGTGACTGGACTGGTGGGTGGAGGGGGCAGTAAAGACTAATTTCTTACAGCCTAACAGCCTGAGAAAACTCATTTGCAAATTGGCAGGATTTAACACACCTGAGAGTTCAAATGAAACCACAGGAGAAAGCTGATGATTCTCTTAAATCCTTTCTCTTAGGCATGGACCAACATGGTGCTAACAGTTCTCAATCAAATTCAGATCCTTCCAGACCCCACCTTCATGGCCCTCCAGCCAGCAGTGTTCCCGTGCATCAGCCAGCTGACCTGTCACGTGACGGACATCAGAGTTCGCCAGGCTGTGAGAGAGTGGCTCGGCAGAGTGGGCCGTGTCTATGACATCATTGTGTAGAAAACTCACATTGAAGAAATTCAGTAGCGAGGGTTAGAGTATGCCTGCCAATCTAACTGACAGCATTTTCCCCACCACCAGCTCTACCATCACTAGTGTCTCAGAACAATCAGCTGCACCTTAACTAATCGGGGCCATTCTGGATACCAAGGTTGTATCTAGATGAGGATACTCTGATTTTGCACATTCTTTCAGAAGTTTCTCCATTCCTTGACACATTTCTAAATCGTGAAGTTGATTTCCCAGTGCTTTTGCCTGCAATGTTATTGCCAAATGGGTCCCTCTCCAAAGACCACTCCTTTGAAAACTGCATTGATCCATTTGATTCTTTTTTTTAATGCAATTACTAAGAAAATATCTGCTGGTAAGTCAAGCTGATGTATAAACATGCCTATATTTAGTACCAAACATTAGTCATTGGAGAAAGACTTGTGTCATGATTGTGCATTTGGTGGAGAAGAAGACAGAAAGATATATCCTTACATGTCATAATCAAGAAAAGGATAGCTTTCTCTGTAAAATATTCCAGAACATTTCAAAATTGTCCTAAGTTGTCAAGATTTTCTGGTTGGTACTCACCAACTTCTTTGTATAAGGTACTGTTGTGCCTTTATTTCCCTATTTCTAATGGAAGAAAATTATTTCCTGGCAGAGTGTTAAGTCGGGGTCATGGCAGCCTTTGACACCCAGTGACATTTGCTGATACAGATATTGCCAAGATTCAGAAGACTGACCAGTCACCTGGCAGTCCCATTAGTCTTTGCTTTTGCTCCCAAGACAGAAAAGAAAAGGGAAAGAAAAAATGGTGCCTTAGTCCTTTGTTGCACGGGCATTTCTATGCTCCACAGTTATCTCAACATAAGGTATAACATTTGGCTTTTAAGAAAACAAAACATTAAGATGCAATTCATTTGCTATATACCCTTTTGGAGAAAAGGAAGTGAGTTTTCTATTCAGTGAGCAGACTTCTCAGGGAAGGGGTAGACAGTGTGGGGTAGGGAGACAGCTGGTGGGGTGGGAAAGGACATTATGATGAAATCATTTTAATCTTCTACTGTTACACAACCTCTCATCTCAGAAGAAAACTAATGGAGAAGGGGACACAGGATGAAGTCTAGGAAATTTAGTTGTTTTCAATTTAAAATATTTCTCCTTTCTGGCAAGTCCTTATACCCCATGTCTGAGGTCCTCTTATTCACGCCAATAATTTAAGTGAATATTTTTTTTTAAATATTACTAGAAAATTAATCTGGAACCTTATCTTATTATTATATATTTAATACTTCTTAAATTATAATAATAATTATTGAAACTCCTCAGACACACTCATTCATATATATATTCTAGTAAAGTTAGTTGCTATGACATACATTATAATTTTCCCAGCCCCTAAAAATGCATTCATAATTGAATGTGCCATTTTTAAAAATAGAGCATCAACTCTTCAATATTAAAATAAGGATTTGAAATTGATGACTTTACTCAGTGCTGATATATGTAAACTTATCCACAAGACTGCCAGAAAGATAGAGCTGATTTACCTAAGCAATCTAAAAGCTGGAACTTTTATGTTCCTGTGTGGGACTTTTATTGTTCAGTATGCCACCTAAAAATCACCATGGAATCCAGATGACATTTTTTCAGTTCCACAAAACCCAAAACATATTCTTCGCCTTCAGTTTTTATGAATTTACAAACAGATCAACTATTTGTAATAAGCAATGAATTGTTGGTATAGCAATGAACTGTGTTAGTGCTTTTGAATTTTTATGTTTTTAAAGTAGAATTGAAAATCAGGTTAGATACTTTTTTGTAAGCAAATACAGTACACCAGCCTTGTTCTGTTTTATTTTGTAGCTTATCTTCAGTTCTCTTTTGTGAGCCAGTGAATACTATAAAATTTACTGGGGGGTTGGGGGGGATCCTTTAGTAGAGTATCAAATCAGGTGATTATAAAAGGTTGTTACATATGAACATTTTGGAAAGTATGAAAATTCAAAGGAAGCCAGTCTCAGTTTATCAATGCCATGGCCCAGAGTATGTTCACTAATTATTTAGAAATAAGAATTCATTCCCCCACAGATGCTCTATTATGGGATCCAAGGCTAGTTTATGAAAATAGGTTTACCCCATACTCTATCCAAACACTGCTCTAGCACTAACCTGATTGTGGGGACCAAGAGTAAAGAGATGAGGGAACACAGAGAGCTCTTTACCTATAATTTATTAGAGGCTTTGGTCCCTTCCCATCACCCTTTCTGTAGCCCACCTGAGACCCACATTGGTCTTCAGCCCACCTTCATTCCCTACATACTCTGTGGCTATATCAGAATTCACCCAGAAAATTAACTGTACTTCCCGAGGTATTAAAAAAAGACAGTTGATGCAAATAATCGCTAATGAACAAGACTTCCAAGTCACAACAAAGTCAGTTGAATCCCCCCACAGATGGGGAAGAAAAGGAGAAAATTAGGAATCCGTGGTAGAGATAGACACGAGCCCATGCCCAGTGCATCTCTAACACTCTTCCTGGTATTCAGTTTCTGCTTTTCCCCAACGTTTCTGATAGACCAAGGTCTTGGCAGCCTTCGTAGTTAAAACGGTTATTACCACATACTTTTAGTTGCCGATATTTATTACTAAATGTGTGTTACCCTAAGGATGAGAGTTATTCTTTTTTTCTCATATTTTGGTAAAGTGCACATCATGAACACCTGAAAAACTCAAAGTGTAAAAGAATTCCTGACTGGACAGCTCAGCCAAGTATATCAGAGTCTTCATCAGATTTCTCCTTGCTGGGAGGGCACAGATTTGATGAAGGATCTCCTAGTTCTTGCCTCTCCTGATCAGTTTTGAAAGATGCTTAGGCTGCCTCTCTATATCATCTTGTTCTTTCTCTCCTTTAAGGTTATTCTCTAGCCTTTTCCATCAACACAAAACTAGGCACCTTTTACCATTGAATGCTATATCATGACCGGCCATGGCTGATGTTAGCATGCACAACATTCAAATTAAAGTATTTTCAATCAGACGTGACAAAGTGGTAGAATTCAAAAGTACCTTTAAATGGAAACTTTTTTGTAACAACATCACTGAGTTTTTTGTTTTTGTTTTAAGGAGAAAGCTTATACAAGTCAGTTGAGAATGATATAGCCTTAACTGCAATTACATAATAGATAACTTTGACTTCCCCCAAATACATCACAATAATGCTTCTCAGAAAGGAAGCTCACTCATGTCTGTCCCTTCAAACTGAACAAAACAAAGGTAACAGCAGCAAGAAAGTTACAAACAGCAAGAGGAGGTGAGATTTGTTGAGTGCTACTGCCAAGGAACATTTACCTACATTACCATATTTTATTTTCACAGTAACCTTGTGAAACAGGTATTTTCCTCATTTTTTAGATGAGGAAGAGACCCAGAGAGGTTAAGAAATTTGCCCAAGATAACCAGGAAATGGCAAAGTTGGTTGCAAAAGCGCTCTCTATACTGTACCATTCTCTAAATGCACCAAGTAAACACCTTAGTGTCCCAAGGAATTACAGTTAAAATGCATTAAAAATACTTGATGGATGTCCCGGATCCATAATTTTATGGGGATTTTTAAATAGGGTTAAAAAAGAAAAGGATCATGTTTACTGGTCTATACAGAAAGAGCATACACAACATTTTGAATGTTCAGAAATAAAATCTAAACCTCCATCTTAAAGCAGACATTCAGTGGTAATTTAGAAAATTTGCCAATTAGGTGGAAATGATGGAATATTCTTGTTCATGGCCAGCTGTTATGCAGGAAATCCATGGCAGTCTGCGTCTGGAACATGCACAGATTGTGAGCCTTTTTTAATGACCATAGCCAACAGTGCCTCTCTGCTTGCTTCCCTGGAAGTAATTGTACTAAATCTGTAAGGTCTTCATCTAAGTTTGGGAATATACAAAATAAATAACCACTTTCAAAAGTGCACTCTAACAAAAAAGTACTGGTTAGACAAAAGTGTTTGAAGATCCAGGTACTGAGGGCATGAGGTCAATATCCATAGTAACCATGTGCCATAAACCTAAATATTCCAATTATTTTGTCGGCAAAAGACAAATTCAGAACTTACATGTGCTTGGCTTCCATGTAGGTGATTCCAGTGAGCTTTAGTGTGGCCTTAAAATACAAGACTATTTTAAGCACTTTTTATCTGAAATATGAGCTTCTCTTAGGCAAGGTTTATGAAACTAGTAAAGAATTCATTTATAATTATGCTTCATCAGAAACAAAACAAGAAAATAAACTGTGTTCCCTCATTCATTAGTGGACCAATCTAGAAAACTGTGAGATCTTCCTGTGCTTGTATTGTAATGTTCATGTTTGCTGTGGAAGTAACTAATAATTAAAGTTTTGGACTAGAATACCATATAGATTTTCAAAACACAATTATTCAGGGAATACAGGCCAAAAAAGAAAAAAAAAATTATCTCCTGGGATGGTTTAGGACAGTGGTCAGCAAACTCATTAGTCAGCAGAGCCAAATATCAACAGTACAACGATTGAAATTTCTTTTGAGAGCCAAAGTTTTTAAACTATATAGGTAGGTACATTGCTATTAACTTAAATAGGGTACTCCTAAGCTGGCCTTTGATAAAAACTCAAGGGACCAAAGAGCCACATTGGCTCCAGAACCGCAGTTTGCCAACCACTGGTTTAAGAGAAACTCAGTTGAGAGCAATGCTCGGTTTCTTTATAAACAGTGGCACCACTAGTAACTGAAGAAAAGCCACTCTCACACCACTGGCACCATGCAAAACATTCCTCTTTATGCACTAATGCAAGGGGGTTCCAGGGAGGAAAGACTGGTTGAACGTCTTTGGGACTAAGCTGCAGTTGACTGCTGGTGAATCCCATCCAGTTATGGTCCTTCCAGCCTGTTCAACCACCGCGAATTATTTGTACTGTCATTCCTCTCCTGAAGGTTTGAGTCACAGTTGTTTAGTGTCGTCTGACTTTAGAATAG